CATTCTCAGATAGCTCATATCCTAGAAATGAGAGGCTTTTTGTTTCCATTACTGATTTTCTTTTATTTATGATCATCCCTGATTCTTCCAACTTATTTAAACTTTCATCAAATTACATTTTAGTTCTTCAGCATTTTTACCACCAACGCATATATCATCTTGAAATATAATCATATTAGGAATAATTTTTCCAACAATAGATTCTATTGCTCTTTGAAATATAGCACTCACAGTTTTTACTCCAAAAGGCAAGCATGTCCATCTTAACAATCCAATAGGTGTGTTAATTGTTGTTATTTCCTGTGCATCTTTGTCCATCTCAATTTGGTGATATGCTCCCTTGAGATCAATTTTGGCGAAGTACTTCATTCCTGCCATCTTATGAAATACATTCTCAATATTTGGAATAGGATATGAATCTGAACAAATCTTTTGATTAACTCCTATTTTGTAATCGGCACATATACGTAGATCTCCATCTTGTTTTCTGACAACAACAAGTGGTGAAGCCCATTTGCTTCCACCAGGTGGAACCTTTTTGAGCAATCCTTGTTGTATCATTACATTAAGTTTATTTATTACTAATGGTTGTATATGAATTGTAAGGGGTCGAGATTCAAAATAACTTGGTTGCATTCCATTTTTTATTATTATGTTTGCTTTATAGTTTACTAAGCGTCCACTAACAAAAAGTTCTACACTGTTAACTAAGTTTGTTGCATAATTTTTAATATGTCCATGCCAATCAAAACGTGATTTTTTGTACAATCTGCAACAATAATTCGTACAATATTTATTTTAGATTTAGTTTCCAGTGTTGCCTCAAACTCCCCTAAAACTTTAATAACTGTGCCATCAAATTGTTTGAGACGAAGGTAACAATTTTGTAATTTAGGTTTTGACATTAACTCCCAAAAGTTTTTTAGGTATAATTGTGACCTGACTTCCAGTGTCAACTTGCATTTTAATGTTGAAACCATTTATTTTGACATTAGTTTCTGAAATTGAGTCATTCATGTTAACAGAATATACACTTGCATCATCAGTCTCTACTTCATCTACTTTTCTTGCATAATCCATATTAGATTTACATACATTTTTATAATTATTCAATTTCCCACATTTATTACACTTTTTTCCAAATGCTGGACATTTTCGTGGTAGGTGTTGTAGTCCACAATATTTGCATTTAAATGGTTTTTCTTTATTTTTGTCAATATAGTTGACTGAAGGGGGTTCCATATCGTCAATATTGTTGTGCATATTAAATAAATATATTTCTTCAATCTGTCTAATAAAGTCCACACATGCTCCTAATTTAGGCGATTCTCCATTCTGTAGCATTTCGAGAGCCTTGACTCTCTGGTCGGAAGATTGAAGCCCATCAATTAGTCTCATTTGGATGAGATCATCTTCTGCGGTTTGTCCATCTCTACCCAATTTTTTGAAATTACAAAAACATGCTGCCTCTCGTAATCTTTGTGCATATAATACAACGTTTTCATTATTTTGTTGTCTCTTTCTGGCAAAACTCTTTTGGCAATTATTAGTCGTTTCTGTGGTCTTAAATGGGACATAATAGCAATTTTAATGTCATTAAAAGTCATTTCTTTTAATTGTTCTGGATATACCATAAGTGAAATTTTTTTTATTGCTTCAATTCCTGCTTTTGATAAAAACAAATCAGTCACTTCGTGGTCGCCATTTATCGTGTTATTCAACTTTTTTGAACTAGCAGAAGCTGAAAAGCGTCTAATCCAAGCTTTTGCGTTGTCTGGATTGTCTAAACTCAACTCTGATATCCTACTCATAGCGCCATTGTTGTATCATAGAATAAAAGCAAAACTACCTATTCATATTAATATACATCTATAGTAAATATTCTATATTCCCTTTTTTATATGCATACAATAATATATATCTATATAAAAAGCCACGTAATAAAAAATAGATGTTTGCAGAACATCCATAACTCGTAGTCGATTTTTACGGCACAACAATTATTATTATTATTATTATTATTATTATTATTATTATTGTTATTACTAAGATTATTTGTATATATATAATTTTTTTTTTTAGGTATTTACTTGAGATTAGTATTTCAATACTATTTGTAAATAGGCTTGAAAATTTATTTTCAGAATATATATGATAACATGTTGTTGATAACATTATAAAAAAAAACTTATTATATATATATATATATATATATATATATATATATATATATATATATATGTATATATATATATATATATGTATATATGTGTGCATATATATACATATATATGTGTATACATATATACATATATATATATATATATATATATATGTATATATATATATATATGTATATATATATATATATATATTTATATATATATATATTTATATATGTGTATATATATATGTATATATGTGTGTATATATATATATATATATATACACATATATACATATATATATATATATATGAATATATATATATATATATATATATATATATATATATATATATATATATATATATATATATATATATATATATATATGTTTTTATGTTGGGAAGTTTTTCCAACACACACACTCATATATCGGGTGGACACAGAAAAATCCGGTCAACTTTAAATTGAGATTTCTCCAAACCCATAAATGCTTTTTATTTCAATTTTTTCATTATTAAATATGTTTACATAAATTAGAGTTTCAACTTAATTTTAAGGGGCTTGATGGGTTACTTGGCAAGAAATCGAACTTTATAGCGGGTTGATGCCATCATTTTACAGATTTTTTCTTTTTTCACCATATTGGTGGCATTAATCCACTTTTTTTGAAAGTCCTTTTTATCATTTGTTAGTCCACCTGTCTTACAAAGAACTCCTTTAACTATTGCCAAAAAATATTCAATCTTGTGCTCTTCAGGACAATTTTGAGGATTCGCATCTTTAGGAGCAATTTTCACATTATTATCTTTGCACCACTGTAAAACTTTTTTAGAATAGTGAGAGGCAGCAAGATCGGGCCAAAAGAGACATCGGTATTTGTGTTTTTTTATAAAAGGCAAAAGTCTTTTTTGGAGGCATTCTTTGATGTAGATATTGGCAGTCAAGGTCTTTTTAGTGACAAAACAAGAGGACTGCATACCACAGCTACAAATTGCTTGCCACACAAGGAACTTGAATGCAAATTTTTCTCGTCGAATATATTTACATTGATCATCAACAGGTTTATCTTTGTTTTCATAGTAAAACTGTTGACCAGGAAGTTGTGAAAAATCTGCCTTGCAATACGTTTCGTCGTCTTCAATTTTTTTACATATTTTTATCCGCCATTATTTTAACCAACTTCTTTGCGCGTCAAATTCCTTAAATTTCACAATTTAAGCTTCTCTTAGGTGTATTTTTTTTATGAAATGCTTTAATTCCAGCATTTTTAAGTACGTTAATAAATTTAAAAATTTAATTTAATTATTATTAACTAATTGATTACATTCCTATTGTTATTTTACTTAGGATGAAAAAGTTAAAATACGAGTAAGTTAAGTATTTACAAAATGATAAGTAATGAAAAACAATAGTTTCAGTAAAACAATTGTTGTGAAAGAGGCGAAGAAAACTTTTTTAAAAATAAATTAAATGATTAAAGGCGTTGAACACTCTAATATACAAAAAACAAGGACTGCAGTATGCCTAAAAGAAAGTTTATCAAAAAATGGAATTTTAAAGTTTGTGGCTTTCAAGTAAATGGTTCTTGAGGTTTAATTTGTTGTAAAACATGCAGAAAGTATATTATTAGGTAATTGTAAGAATATTAGTACTCTAATTCGTAAACTTTTTATTCAAATAACAATGTCAAATAATACAAAAGGATAAAAATAAAATACCACCCCCACAGATTTTGCTGGTTTTTATATGATTGAGTGAATTTAATAAAAAATAATTCTATGACAATTTCAGCCTAAAATTACAAGTAGTTTATGAAATTTGACTATATTACATTTATCTTCCAGTCTTCCTTTCCCTCTCAGATGTTTGTTTGGAGGTTTTAAGTCAGATAAATAGAGAAATATTTTTGTTTTTCTTTAAAATTTGTTCTTGAATGTTTTCTGGATTAGTGGAATTCTGTGAAATGGTCTGACACTACCTAAGTTATTAAGTATCACTATATATTGTTTTAAATAATAATTTTAAATAAATTTCTTATATTCTTTATTTATATGTGCAAGAAACCCACCTGTTCTTGATAATATCAAAAAAAAAAGAATTGTCGCATTTATATCTTATTATCTTTTATTAAGCATAAGAATTTTCATATGCAAATGTGCATGTAAGCTATGGCTTAGATGTACATTTGCTATAGTGATATTAACTCTACTAAGTCCACCATCTCTTATTGGCCATAAAGGTTTATTCAAATGACCGTGTGGATACAACTTTACTATAATATCTTGCCCAATATTATCTATTTCACCAATCTAATGTAATGTATCATATTTACATAGATTGAATTCACTGACTTTCAATGTATGAATAGTTTGAAATGAGGTTGAATCTTTAAGTAAAAGAAAAGATTCCTGTTACATTAACATCTAGATTTTCCTTGGAAAAATTTAATGAAATAATCAGAAACTTCATAAGTTTATAAATCAACTCCTTGTGACATGATCATAGGTGGCCATTAAGTGTGCATTGCTGATGCCACATAAGGCAAGATTTTATATTGTCTTGAGCATGCACACAACAGGGACACTATCCACTTAAGGCATATCACTATTATTTCTTTGATATATTACAGCTAATGAAGTAATTAACTAAATTTATGTAATTTAAAAACAAATTTTTTTATTATTCTTTTATAATATTAGTTTTTTGTTTTTATTTACACAGTACTTACTAGTAACAGTTAAGTTATTCAAAATTTATTAATTTATAAATTAATTTTAAAATGATTGCTAAAAGTTATTGTATTTTATTTAAATTTTATTATTATTTGTTTAGGTAATTGTGGAAGATGTAAATGATAATTCACCAATATTTACAAGGCGATCCTATAAAACATCTATATCAGAGTCTTCCGAAATTGGTACTATTGTCTTTAACAAGTTGACAGCTAAAGATGATGACTCTGGAGAGAATGGAAGAGTTACATATAGTTTTTTAAGTGACACACCTAAAGATTTACCATTCTTGTTAGATCCTTTAACAGGTGCCTTGAAAGTGCTAAATAAACTTGATTATGAAGTAAAAAAGAGCTATACTTTTTTTGTAGTTGCATCTGATCATGGTGTTCCACAGAGATCAGATCAAGTTAGTGTGACCATTGATGTTGAGAATATAAATGATAATTCGCCCCACTTTAAGAATTCTTCATACATCATAAGTATTTCAGAAGATGCTATTCGAGGTACTCCATTGCTGCAAGTGCAAGCTGAAGACCTGGACTACTTAAGCAGTGAGAACTTTGAATATTCCATTGTTGATGGGGCTCATTGCTTTCAAATTGATGCATTTTCAGGTATTGTTTCGTTAGGTGGATGCAAATTAGATTTTAAAAAACAGAAAGAGTATAACTTAAAATTAAAAGTGATAGATTTGAGTGCAGGAGAAGACCAACAACCAGGATTTGCTAATCTGACTATTAATATCTATGATGCTAATAATAACTATCCCAGGTATTACTTTTCATGTAGCTTATAAATAATATAAGATATTATTTTATTGTTTACATATTTAATGTTGCATGATCTTTCAAGAGGATTTCCTAACAATATTTATGAAAAGCAAAATTGCTTTTCGATTAAAAAAAAAAATTAGTCAATCAGATGACGTTAATGTTTACTATTTTTTGTAACAAATTTTGTGATTTTAGGGAATTTTACAACATTATTTTTATGTTAGTTTTACGGCATAACAAATTTGTTTAAAGTATAAAGTAGGAGTCACCAAAGTAAATTTTAATTTTTATTTCAAAACTTAAAGTGTTTTATAAAATGGAGTAACTTCATGTAAATTTATCCAAGCCATGCCACCATATATCTCAGGTTTTAATGTTTTTATACACTTAAAAGGACTTAATAAAATAAGAATTTCTTGAAAATTTAAGTCACTAACTCCAAGCAGATTCTCAAATATGACTTTTAGCAAATATCAGTCTGGTTTCTTTTGATCCTTATTTTACAAGTTTTACTTATATGAAGGTTTCTAATTTTAATAGTGTTTTATTGGCTTTTTGATTCCAACTACTATGAAGTTATTTTAAGTTTCTGTGAAACGTTTTTCCATCCTTAACAGAACATGAATTTTTTACTATAGATATAACATACATATTATAAATATTTGTTTCAAATGTTAAATATTCACCTATATTATAATAAATGTAAACACTTTTTCAGATATAAAAATGTTGACCTAAATTAACTCTTGAATTTATTGTTGATATTATACATATGATAATAAAATGAATTCATCCATATGATGGTGAAATACATTCAATGTTAATTTTTTACACATGTTGCTATAAATATATTAATAAAATTAGTGAACTATACGATATACAGTCATAAATACACACAAAAAGTAAAATGAACATGTGACAAACAGGGTCAACAAAATGTTGTTAGCTGATTATTTTTACATATATTTATTTTTATGTCTTTGCAGCTTTTAGTTTACACTGTTTTTTTTTTGTTTAAATAGATTTGCTGAAAGTATTGTTACACTTATGGTTGCTGAAGATGTACCTATTGGAACCATTATCGGAAAAATCACTGCTACTGATGATGATAGTGGAGATAATGCAAAAATTTCTTATTTTCTTCAAAATCCTGATGAAAACTTTCTGCTTAATAAAGATACTGGTAATTTTTAAACATAACATTTTTGGTAATAAAGATTGAAGGAGTAAAATTCTAAAAGTTGCTATACCTGTATTATTATTTTCTTTATTCCTGTATATAACACAGATATGACATCATATTTGTATGTATATAACATCATATTATTTGTTTGTATATGATATCATCATAATTGTTTGTATATAACATCATATTATTTGTTTGTATATGACATCATCATATTTGACATCATCATTTTTTTTTTTTTTTTTTTTTTTTTTTAACATCTTTACTTCCAACAAGGCTGCAAGCAACCACTATAAGAGTTGGAAGTTACTGGAAGAGAAAAGACTAAATCTGTAGAGCAAGATAACGATTGACTGATGACTTAAAAGATTGCAAATTATATGAATCAGGAAAGCAAGATGAAGGAAGCGAATTCCAAAGAACTGATGTTCGAGGAAAAAAACTAGAAGAATAAGAGTTTTTGAAGCACTTAGGAACAGTCACAGAAAAAGGATGAGACTTAATTGAATGGCGAGTAACACGAGAATGAATTTTAGTAGATGGCACAAGGGACGCTAGCTCTTTAGAGCAGTGCCCATTATAGAATTTGTAGAAAAGAGAAAGAGAAGCAACATTACGACGATGTGACAAAGGTTGGAGATTGGCTGCCAGAGCAGGTCCTACTATGTTTACAATTCGTTTTTGCACCTTGTCTAAAAGAGAAAGAGCACCATTAGAAGATCCGCCCCAGATGTGGCAACAGTATTCCATGCAGGGACGGATTTGAGATTTATAGAGATAGAGAATAGAATCTGGAGTAAGAAAGTGTCGAGCTCGATAAAGAGATGCAACCTTAGCAGATGCTAATTTTGCAATGGATTTGATATACGGTTTAAAAGAAAGATCAGAAGTAAGAGTTAATCCTAGAAGATGAATGGTAGATGACTCATCTAGTACATTACCATTTATAAATATAGGAAGATCTAAATTATTACGATAACGATTGGCCGAATAAAATTGAGTTTTATCTGAATTAAAGTTCACCAGCCACTGTGAGCCCCATGCTGTAGCAGAAGTGAGATCTTTTTCAAGCTCAGATACCCCCTCCAAGCAATCAGAGAGTGTAGGCTTCTTATCATGACAAGAGTAAATGGTAGTGTCGTCAGCGAATAATGCCACCTTAGATGTGAGAATATCTGTAAGATTGTTAATGTAAATTAAAAAGAGTAAAGCTTATGGAGAAGACCAGCATGCCAAACTTTATCAAAAGCTTTAGAAATGTCAAGTGCGATAGCCTTAACCTCTCCACCTCTATCTAATGCACGGTAAAACCTATCGGTTATTACTGTTAGCACATCAGCTGTAGAACGAGAAGACCGAAATCCATATTGATGATCAGAAAGTAAGCTATTTGATTCAAGATGAGAGATTAAGTGTTTGTTGATTAAAGATTCAAAAACCTTGCTTATGACAGGAAGAAGACTAATGGGACGGTAGTTAGATGAATCAGATCGCTCTCCGGAATTTTTGAAAATAGGGATAACAGATGCTGCTTTCCAGCATGATGGAAAACAAGACTCTGATAAGCACTTGTTAAATAGTTTAGAAAGTATGGATGAAAGCTCCGGAGAACACCTCTGCAAGACTACAACAGGAATGTTGTCAGGACCACAAGCTGTTGAAGAGTCTAAGCAGGAAATTACTTTAGATACAGAAGCTGAAGTGATGCGAATGTCAAGCAAGGGATCAACCTGTTTGACGGCTATGTCAGGTAAAACGCAACTAGTGGAATCAAGAGATGATATTGATAAAAAGTTCTTAGCAAACAATTCAGCTTTGTCTTTAGGTGAGGTGACAAAGTCTGAACCATACAAGAGAGAAGGAATAACAGATTTGCCCTTATTATTGATACTGTTAAAGATTCTCCAGAAGTCTCGAGAGCCTAATTTTTGTGATGAGATACGAGATTTAATGACCTGGGAATAGCGAGCTTTGGCGTCAGACAAAACCTTTTTACAATGGTTTCTGGCGATAGTGAACAGATGTCTGTTTTCTGGAGAATTGTTTTGCTGATAGATATGGAAGTAACGGTTTCGATTAGAAATTGCTGCAGCGCAATGTGAGGAAAACCAAGGAGAAGAGTGAGGCTTGACCTGGAATCGTCGAGAGGGAATAAAAGATTCCATGCCAGCCTGAATCCACGAAGTTATGTAAGAAGCACATTTGTCAGCAGGAAGACGAAAGATTTCTACCCAAGGGCCATCACGAAGAAAATCGCGGAAAGAGTCCCAGTCAGCTTTAAGGTAGTTGTATGTGGTATGATGATAGGGGGATTCTGATGAAGTAGAAGAATTTGATAATAGTTTTAGAGAGATCAAACCGTGATCAGAAGTACCTAAGGGTGAATGTGGAGAAATTGAGCACTGACTAGGATCCAAAACAAGACATAAGTCGAGTAGAGAAGGTAAATGATTAGGGTTGTCTGGAAAACGAGTTGGAAAGTTGACTATTTGAGTTAGAGATTGAGAAAGGCAAAAGTTCAGGGCCTTAACGCCAGCAGAGTCACTGACACTAGAGCCAAGCCAATCGGTGTGATGGGCATTAAAGTCACCAACAACGACGATATTGGCCGATGGATAAAGAGAGAGGTCAATTTGATCAGAAATAACATCAAGAATAGTGCAATCTTGGGATGAAGGAGAGCGATATAGAACAAAGAGAAAGGCGATAGAGTGAAGTTGTGCTAAACGAAAGCACATAAATGAATAGTCTGTAGATTCAAACCTAGTTTCACGACAAATGGGTGAGTTCTTACAAATGTAGATGCACAGGCCAAGCATGTGATTATTGGAGTCTTTACGAATTAAAGGAAGATAACCATCAACACTAAGATCACAAGATGGGACAGCCGAACTCAAATTAGTCTCACAAAGAGCAAGTAGGTCTGGTGAACTTTGCAAGAGATAAGACTCAACAGAGGAAAAGTTACTTCGAAGACCACGAATATTAGTAAATGATAGGTTTAGAGAACTTGGTGATGACGATGGTTTTTTGTGTTTTTTAGTTTTAGGTACTTTAGTCATTTTAAATTTATAAAGAACTTGACTCAAGTATAGATAGTACTCAGTACACTATTTAACAACTAAGCAATAGCCTCATTACTATTAATAAACCCTAAGCCGTAACAAAGGGCTCCAAATGTGGCCTCTGCAATGCACACCAAAAGTACAAACAGGGACACCATTCATGCGCAACATGGCACTGTTAGTACTCTGATATTTTTCGGCTGTTGATGGAATCAGCCTCTCTGAGAGCTACCACAGAGTTCGGGAAACCTGACTACCAGCCGGCCTCAGAACCATAAAACTGAGTTTTAGAGCTGTACCCTCATTAGGAGATAATAGAATGAGTTGCCCAGTCATAAAAATAGAGACACAAGCAATACCCACGCATTGAGTCAAGACATAATACATAATTAAATCTGTATAGTAAGTAATTTTTAACATTGTTAAAAATTACTGCTTTACCTTTGAAATTAAATTCTCAAGAATGTAATACAAGAAATGAATCCAAAATGGTATATAAATTTAAATTTATTCATATATATATATATATATATATATATATATATATATATATATATATATATATATATATATATATATATATATATATATATATATATATATATATATATATATATATATATATATATATATATATATATATATATATATATATATATATATATATATATATATATATATATATATATATATATATATATATATACATATATATAATGATTCTTATATGATTTTATGTTTTTTTCAAAAAAAATTTTTTTCTTAAAAATAAATCTTAAACAGTAATGAGCAAGTTAGTTCAACTGCTAATGGGTTTTGATTCTTTATTTGTTTTATTATTATTCATTATACGAGCTTAGGGTTTATGAGCTCCTCCTATCCAAGTTTCTTTTTGTTAGGTAAGTTGCTTTCATCATGGCTAATGTGCCTCACCTACCCTAATATAAGATCAACTTAATATTATGACCAGTTTATTCTTAATTGTGCAATTAAATATTTCTTTAGGTGAGTTGTATACTCAATTAAATCTTGATCGTGAAAAGAAATTATCATATCAATTAATTATTGAAGCAGTGGATCATGGGAAGCCTGTATCCCTGTCATCAACAACAACTGTAATAATCAGATTAATTGATGTCAATGATAATGCTCCGAAATTTGTTAAAGTAGGTTTCTTTTGTTAATTGGTTTTCTTCTTAAATTTTTTATTATAAATTTTTTCCTTTTTATATTATAAAAGACAAGAAGCAAAGTATCAAATTTACAAAGAAAAATATAAAAACTGAGATTATTATTATTATTGTTATTATTGATTATTATTGTACTGTTTATTAAAATATTTTTTTAAACCAAATATATAATTAACAAGTTACACATAATTAATTATTAATAAATTATTTTTTATTAGGACAACTACGATGTTGAAATTTTAGAATCTGTTGCAATTGGAAGCTTTGTTACAACAGTTTCTGCAATAGATGATGATGATGGGATTAACAAGTTGATAAGTTATTCTATAGAATCTTCGGGTAAGTTTTATAGTTTAAAGATAAATTTTTCTTTGTTATTTATTTGTGTTGTTTCTAAGGTTTCTGGGTTATTTATTTGATTTTTTAGGTGACATCTTGTTTCTTATAATTTATTTGGTTTGTTTCCAGGTGATGACTCATTTGCAATTGCTTCTGATACTGGCATAATAACTACAATTAAACTTCTTGATAGAGAAGTAATCCCAGCTTATAAAATAACAGTTGTAGCAACAGATAAAGGTATTAAACAACTGAGTACATCGATACTTGTTAATATTATCCTTAAAGACGTTCAGGATAGTTCACCTGTTTTTGAGAAGTCTATATATTACTTCAGCATCAATGAAAATTCAACAACCAAAACAGTTGGCAAGGTAACAGCAACTCTTGCTGACAAAGACTTTCAAAACAGTTTAATTTATAGTATTTCAAAAAACATACAAAACTATTTCAATATTGTACGTCGAACTGGAGTTATTGAAGTCTCAAGAAGTTTAGATTATGAAATTCAAAGTATTTATATACTCGAAGTTCGTGCAAGTGCTCCAAGTGGTAAAGAAGATAAGTGTGTTGTGAACGTGACAGTTCTCGATATAAATGATCACCCACCTGTGTTAAATGACTTTTACATTTTTCTTAACAACAATAGTGATTCAGATAATCTGGCTTTTAAAGTTCCAGCCACAGATGTCGATGTAACCAGTAAACTAACTTACTCAATACTTAGAGGAAATGAGATGGGATTTGTAAAGTTGTCCGAAAACACAGGAGAATTGTTACTTCAAAAAAGTATTATGAATACAGTTTTTGAAGTACAGATCATTTTTGAAGTAACTGATGGTGAAAATACTGCAAGTGCAACAGGCCATATTACAATGTCAGAGATTAACAGTGGAATGGTTAGTAGAAGCATGTTCATCATTCTAAAAAATATGACAAAAAATATGTTCTTGACTGCTCAAATGTTGACAAATTTTAAAAATGCGCTTTCAACTGTTTTTAGCTGTGACTCCAGAAGAATATTTATATTAAGTATTGAGGACTTTATGACAACATCTAATGCTTCTCCTTTATTAGAAGTTGTAATATCTGTTAGAGAGGAAACAACAAATGATTTTTTACCAGTAACAAAATTAAAAGATTTATTTTATCTTAACACATTACGTTTTGAATCCTTATTAAATATTTCTGTTCTTTCAACTGACTATTGGAATGATATTTTTTGTGGTGCTGAATCGTGTGAAAACTTTCAAATGTGTTCTGTTGATTCATTAAATTCAGAAACTAAAAGCAACACTGTATTTTCAACTAATGTAGTATTTCGTGGTGTTCACATAAATCAAAAGTTGCTTTGCACCTGCCAAACTGGCTATCGTGACGGACCAAATGCTCCAAATTCTTGCTCACAAAAATTTAGTTTGTGCTATGCAAAGCCATGTGGCCCTTATGGAAAATGTATTAGTACTGATGAAGGATTTACATGCATTTGTGATGTTGGATACTCAGGTACTATTTATGTTTTTTTACTTTGTTGTTGCTATTGCCAGTCTTTTTTATTTAATTTTATAAAATAATTTCAACATCATCTCTCACAGGAAAATATTGTAATGTCAATAAAATAACTTCGAAATGTCCTGGAACATCCCCATTTGCTTTGGATTCTAATCCTTGTGGAACTAATGGACAATGTGTAAATGAAGATAAAAATGGATTTCGATGCCAATGTCATTCTAAAATTGAAAATGAATTTTGCACCTATTCAACTGCACATTTTCAGAAGGAATCTTACATTGCTTTGAATGGTTTGTTAAGTTTTAACTAATTTAAAATTGAAATTGAAAATTTCAAAATTTTAAATAATTAACATGTTGATTATGTTTAATCAACATGTTAATTATTTAAAATTTTGGAAATTTATATTAAAAATGTTACTATTATATTATAACAATAGCACTAACACTAAAATAAAACACAGCAACCTTTTTAAAAGGCCATAAAAATAATGCTTAAAACTTGATATAGAACAAAAAACATTTGTTGTCCATATTTAGTAGACACACACTGTTCTCATGCTAAAATGTTAGATGGTAGTGTCATTATGTTGGTTTCATCAAAGTTATAAATTCTATAACAATTGTGTTTTTTCTAGACCTAATATAGTTTAGGGTCTGCAATAAAGTACTGACCTTTTTTTTTCAGAATTCGAAATCTGTATATACAGGCTTTAACAGGCATTGCATGTGGTACCCTTTTTTGATCATGCATGTTTTGCTTTGACTACTTGGCTGCAGTTCTGTGCATGTTTTGATGATTTGCGTATTTTAGAAATGCACTAAAAAATGAAAACTAAACTAAAGAGAGAATTAAATTTTAAAGAATGAGAATATAAATATTAGATAAACCTAAAAAAATAAAACCATAAAAAAAGTTATTTTTATATTTTTAAGTTTATCTTTTATTCGTTTTCTTATTAATAAGATTTATTTTCTTTTTGTCAAAATAGAGCTGTGTCAAAAAAATTATATGCGTGGTCAGGAAAGGTGAGCGACTAGTGGTTTCACAGCTCTTTTGAAACATATATATATATATATATATATATATATATATATATATATATATATATATATATATATATATACATATATATATATATATATATATATATATATATATATATATATATATATATATATATATATATATATATATATATATATATATATATATATATATATATATTCATAAGTGATAGGGCATTCACAAATAAATACTTATAGAATTTGTTTATATAAAATAAAATATTTACTTTATAAACAGGCTTAAAACAGCGTTGGAATTTGACTTTGTCTTTGGAATTCGCAACTCATGATTCAGATGCACTAATATTATACAATGGTCGTTATAGTAACTCAAATGACTTTATTGCTATTGAGATTGTTAATGGACAAGTTGTTCTTAGAATATCAAAAGGTAGTTTAAAAAATGAAAAGGAGAAAGTAACAACAGTTGAAAGTTTTATTGCTGGAGGTGTGAATAATGGAGAATGGCATTTTGTTTCAGTTTTATATCAAGATAAGGTTTTATTTTTTTCTGTACTTTTTTTTTTTTTTGTAGTTTTATATATGTAAAACAAGGCTTGCAAATTCTTATGCAATAAGTTAAAATGAGCTATTTTTATAATTTTATTGTGTTTTGAGGAAAATAGCAAAAGAGTATAGTTAATAAATTTTCTTTTTCATTTTCTAATAAATTAGGTTATTTCATTGGCTGTTGGTCATTCTTGTGATGTTAATATAGCTCATCTTATAAATCCTGAAGGTTTAATGAAACATTGTAGCGCATCTAAAATTGTTGATGGAGAAATGAAGTAAGCATGTTTGAGATTTATAAAAATAATGACGATGATGATAAATTTCTTATCAGTTTCCTATTTCTTTTATCTTTTCTTTCCTTTGGTTACCTTTACCATTACCTTTTCCTTTTATCTCTGAACATTAAAATAGAAACTGTGACAGAAATAAATGATTTGGATGTGGTACTCATAAGAGCCTGGGCAGATCTTAAGACCTGCTTGATATAAAGCAGGGTGTTAGCCAGCCCTGTGGGGTCTCATTATATGCAGTTTTTCTAAATGTTCATAAAGTTGAAGTTTCCAATTTAATGGTAAGAAAAATAACATTCTCCACCGAAAGTTTGCCAAATAATATACCAAGTTTTATCATTAAAATTTTTATCATGCAAATTAATAATTTTTAATTATTATTAGAAAAAATAGGATAGAAATGGTAACTTATTATTATTAATAAAATATAATTTTAAAGAAAATCAATATTTTCGGCATAATTTAGCATTAGTTTTGCTAAATTATGCCGAAAACATTAACTTTCTTTAAAATTATATTTTATTAATAATAATAAGTTACCATTTCTATCCTATTAATTAAAAATTACTTGGGAATTCCCCTGCAAGTAGCTTTTAAAAAATTGGTCACTCAATATTTCGCAAAGCTTCTAACAACATCAAGTACTATGTAAAAATGTTAGCAAAAAATAAAGTTCAATTTTAAAAAATAAAAAGTTTGTTTGGTATAACACCTACAAATGTTATGTCAAAAGTTTTGCCTGTATGAGCTGAAGATTTGTGTAAATCATTGAGTTTTTCGCTATAACCCTTCTTGTGCCTTCATAACAAAAACTTTCATTTAAATTCTAAATAAAATAATAAAAATAAAAAAGGCAAGCGTTTTTTTATGAACTTATGTAATGTAGTATGCAAATTACTTTTAAAAAAAGGAAGGTGTGTATAATTTTTTTACAATTTTCAATTTTTTGTAAGTCTCCAGTCATATAAAAAAACGAGAACTTTTTTTTTAACACCACGAACTAAGAATAAAACCCAATCTAATTGTGTAAGTTGTTAACTTTCTAAGTATAATATTGAAAAAACACTTTTTAATTTTCTAAACATTTAAAAAAAACTTTTTTTTTGAAAAGTTCATTTAATTTTTAAGCTTAATTTCTGATGATTATTTTTGAAAAAAGTACAACTTTTCTCAGCGATATATTATTTGAAAACGAAGTTCTGTGGTGCTCTCAAACCATGCGTAAATATTATGTGATATACGTTAATAATATATGATGTGTGATATACATTACTTAAATATCATGTGAGATATACGTTAATAATATATCATGTGTGATATACATTACTAAAATATCATGTGTTATATACTTTAATAATATATCATGTGTGAGATATATATAACTAAAATATCATATGTGATATACATTAATAGTATATCATGTTTGATATACAATAATATATCAATTGTTTAGGATTATTTGCAAAGAAACTTTTCATTAATTCAACTGTTGAATGCAATTTTCTATTTTATAAATCCTTTTTTGTCCTTGTATGAAATACTGTTTTTGTATTTAAACTGGTTTTTCTAATGATATTTTTTTCTTGGAGAAAATGTGAAAACTGTAAATATAATTGGACTTGCTCTTACATCCAAACTTGCCTCTCTTACCCTGCTGTAAGGCTGAGTGTCTTTTACTTTTTTGCAAATATTACCATTATTGCTGTTCAAGCTATTAAGTTCTAAACTATTAAATTTTAGTATAACTTTCTTTATGCAGAAAAACTTTTCTTTATCTTGCTTTTTATTGTGAACTTAAGTGTCTTAGAATTCTCTCTTGTCTTTGTGTTTCACTATTTCATATAATTTACAGCTTTCAAAGTCTGTAAACTGTTTTTTCTCTCTTTATTTTCTAGTAACTGTCAAAGAAAATAAAAATTTTTTACCAGCTTGTTGGAAGTAAATTTGTATAAAAATATTTATATACAAATATTTTTTTAAACTAGATCATTGGATCTCACAGCTCCTCTGCTTGTTGGTGGATATCCCTTCCAATCACAGTTTATTCGTACAAGCTCAAAAAGTTTTGTTGGTTGTATTCGAGACATTACAATTGATTATAAAAAATTTGATTTTTCTTCAGCTATTCAAACATACAACATTTTTCCTAATTGCCCAAAAAAAGAATTTTGTAGCAAAGCTAATCCGTGTATACATGGTCGTTGTATTGATGGTTTATACAAAGCCATTTGTGAATGCAAAGTAGGATTTATTGGTGAATTTTGTGATCAAGGTATATTATAAGTCTTACATTTAATTAACATAAATATTAAATTAACATATACACATACCTTAAATTCAGAAAAAAATATATATATATATGTATCTTATATATATATACATATATATGTATTTATATATATATATATATATATATATATATATATAACATAAATATTAAATTAACATATACACATACCTTAAATTCAGAAAAAAATATATATATATATGTATCTTATATATATATACATATATATATATATATATATATATATATATATATATATATATATATATATATATATATATATATATATATATATATATATATATTGAAATGTTTGCATGATATATATATATATATATATATATGTGGTAAAAATGCATGTTTAAATTTTGAATTTAAGGTGTGTGTATATTTTAATTTAATTTAAGGTGTGTGTATATGTTAATAAATTGGAATATATTCCAACCATAAGTTATTTGATAATAGAAAAAAATTAATTAAGTAAGGATAAGTTCAAATAAAAATAATTTATTTATAAAAAAAATTAAATAGGCTGTATGTGCATATGGATGTATTGGGTGTCTGTGCTGTTTGTGTTGTACAGTAAATTCTGGTGTTGTTAGTGACCAGTATAAAAGATTTATATCTAGACTCATGCTACCATATAGGCCACCCTAGCCCACCCCAGTCATACATTAAAATACCATGATAGGTTTAATACTTATACATGGATTTATAACTGACTTTTGAATCAAAAACTTTCCCAAACATATTCCAGAGACCAACATCCTTTTCTGCATCAAAAGTTATTGTGTTAAGAAAATAGTCGTGCTTGTTAACCTGAACACTATCCCTTATAGGCTAAGTCTAATATTATTAAAACTTTGCCATATAGCCACCCATAAGCAGTGGGAAAAAAGAAGCACACTAAAATAAGAAGGAATTATTTTTCAATCAAACAATATTAATTTTTAGAAGAAAAGTAAATATATGTATATACATTCAATTTATATGAAGCCAATTCCATGTGAAATTTTTTTTATAAAATTCAATCGTAAGTCTCAGATTTCACTGATTTTTACACCATTCAAAGATTTTAATAAGTTATAAACATTCCCAAAATTTTTTGGGAATATTCAAACTTTGCCAAAGCTTCTGGACACTAGATGACAGAAAAAATAGAGATTTAAAGCCAGAGTGTTTTTTCAACTCTGATTTTACATCCCTGATTTTACTATTGTTATTGCAATAAAGGTCAAAATTACAGGTGTTAAGTTTATTTTTAAATATTTTAATTTATTTTATTGGGTTGTATGTCCTGGATGTTTTTGCATGGAATTGTTCATGAGCAAAAGACAGTTTGAGCAAATAGCAGCAAACCAATAAAACAACAATATTCACAATTATAACAGTTATTAACAAAAGGAAATATGAGCAACAAATCAATAAAATATTTGCAATATAAAGTAATGTTATTTAACTTGATTCATTCCCAACAGCAATTAAATGTTGGTGGTCCTTGGTCTACTAGAAATAGTTGGTTTTTAATTACAGTGGTTTCTTGCTTGATCTGAAAGAAACAAAACCTGATTAGATAAGACCACATTTCACACAATGGTTTGAAATCTTAATGTTATTTTCCTCTAATGTCTTAGCTGCTTGCTAGTCATTTTTTAGTCTTCTTGTATTTTTTAGTTTTCTTGCATTAAATTAAATTTGCATATATTTTATTTGCTTAAATTTTCAACTGAAAGCTAAGAATCAATTTTGTCTTTAGTTTTAGTTTTTAGTTTTAGTTACTTTAGTTTTTAGGGGCATGAGTATTTAGTTTTTAGAGTACTGCTACTGATTATAACTTACTTTTATATCACAGAAATACAAATAAAAATTTAAAATGCATAAATTGTCTTTGTGCTGCTTGGTATGCACACACTTTCCCATAGTCATTTTACTTAATTAAAAATTTAAATAATTGTCGAAAGTTACCACTTAAACTGTCATTGAATAAACCCTATTTATTTTGCTTAGTTATTTATTTATTATTACTATTATTATTATTATTATCAACACTATTTATTTATAAAAAGTATAAGTAGTTATATGTTAATAGATATAGAACTTTTGTCAATGAGGTGTATTTAGTTTTATGAATTTTTAGTTTTAGTGAATAAAATGCATTTGTTCTATGTTTTTTTTTTCTTTTTACAAATAACATCTTTACTTGTAAGGATAAAACATGCCAAAATAGCTACCAAATTACAGTGCATGCATGTTTATAAAAAAGTACTTAAAAATCATGGTAAAATTAAAAACCCTAAAATTGAAAACCTTTTAATAAAATGATAAAATTTCAAGCTTATTATATTATAGCACTTTCCAAAAGTAACTAATAGCATAACATAAAAATATTTTTTTATTATTTGTAGTTCTTTTAAAAACCTAAACACACATGCTTTAAACTGAGAAATCAGTAAAATCTGTTCATGATTCTAATATTTATCACACATCTGTAACTAAAAGGTATTTATTTAAAGTATTGTAACTAAAAGGTATTTAGTAAAAAAACCAAATCTAGCATACTAATTATTTAAAAAATTGTTAAAAAAAAATTGTACAAAAAAAATGCCATGCACATAAAAAATCAGGTGAAATATATAAATGTTTTTGTTCATATTTTGAACTAACTTTACAGCATTTTGTTTAATCTTTACAAAAAAAAATATCTTTTTTTGCTTTTTATGCACAACATTAGATTCAAAAAATCTTCATTCAAGGAAAAAAATTATGGAGGTAATTAAATGTAATTGAATACATTGAATTATCTCCATAATTTATTTTTTCCTTGAATGAAGATTTTTTAAATCTAGGAATTAACTGTATAACTTAAAAAGTATAGTTACAGGGTTTGAATACACCAGGTCTCTACTTGGCCCACAAATCTTCAGGATTCTAAAAATTATTAGAATACTAAAAATATTATTGTTGTTAGCGTCTGTAGATTTTATGAAAAGTAAAAACTTGAAAACTTAGTTACTTGATTGCATAACTTTTTTCATTACCAAAATTTGAATTCATTCTTTTTTATATTTATAGTATTTTATACAACTTATACATATAACTTTAAACATTGAATGAATCATATAGTTTTTGTATATTTTATAATTTTTTTGTTTTGCAGTTATTTTTTTATTTTTATTTTAGAAATAATAAGTTCTTCAGTAGTGTCATTGAAATCTACAAGTGAGTTAGTTATGGGTCAAATTAAAAGTACTGGCACGCATCCTACTGCAATAATGCTAAAAACAACACATTTAAGTGGAACTATTTGGGAGGAAGAAATCAATTTCAAGAAAGCTGTTTTAAAAGTAAACTCTTCATAACTTCTTTATAATTTGTTTTGTTTATCGCATAAAAGATTTTTTTTTTTTAATATTTATCTTTATTTGTTGCTCTGTTAAATAATGTTTTGTTCCTATATTAGGATTTGTTTGATAGTAATATCTATTTTAATATTCTTGGTAATAATATTAAGATTTCAGATGGTTACCCCTGTTACATTTTTGATTCAAAGCTCAAACTTAATTTATCAGATATTTTTATATCTGATGGTAAATGGCATCAGTTAGAAGTCAGTTGGGAGTCCACTCGTTTGGTCTTGTCTGCAGATTATAAAAAGTTTAGGAGAGAATATTTGTTGTATCAGTCATCAAGTTCACAAAAAATGATTGCTGTTGGAGGTCAAGATAAGGAAAAGTTTGTTGGTTGTTTATTTGGTAAGATTTATTTGAAGAAGAGTTAGATTTATGGAGTTTCACTCTACATTTTTTTTGTAATCTTTTTCATCAATTTTTTTCTTCGTCAGCTTTTTGAGTATTGAGTAATATAAATAGTGAGTAAAAACTCAAAAAGCATATTTAAAATCTCATTAAAAATGTAAAAATCTCAATAAAAAATTGTTTAACTGTTTTTAATAAATTTTAATATAAAATATTTTAGTTATAGTATATGTTTTTTACAGTATATATATTTTTTTAATTTTGTATTTTTCAATTTGAGTGGCCACTCTAAGTGTATATGTATATATATATATATATATATATATATATATATATATATATATATATATATATATATATATATATATATATATATATATATATATATATATATATATATATATATATATATATATATATATATATAACATGTGATACCTAGAAATCTGGACAAAAGTTCGGTCGACATAAATTGTTTAAGGAGTGTTGCAAAATTGTTGCAAGTTATGCTATGTTGTAATAAATTTAATTCTCTACAAATTGCAATATATCTTTTAGCAAACAATCATTTATAATGGCAAAGAAAATTATCTCAAAACAGGAAGACCTCAGAAAGCGTGTGTACGCGTTAATCGATTTGCATCCGGATATGAAGAAAAGTGAGATTGTGAGACACTTCATGATCGAAGGCGCATCAAGGTCGACCCTGTATGATATTCTGCAGCGCAAGACGCTCAAAATAGGTCTTGAAAGACAGCGTGGAACTGGACGGGTGGCAATCAAGATGAACACAAGGCGAATCACCATGCTGATAAAGCGAATCGATTGTAGTGACGGAGTTAGCCAGCGTCAGCTAGCCCGCAAGTATGGTGTCCGCCAAAAGCACATATCAAAAACAATTAGCACCAAGACAAAAATCAAATACGAAAAGAAGAAAAAAGTTTCAGATCGAACTCTGCAACAGAAGTCAGCCGTTCGTCCGAAGTGTGCCCACCTGGCCAGAGTTTTCCGGAAAAAAGTGATCATCGACGACGAGTCCTATTTTTCGTTGAGCAATAACGAGCTATCTGGAAACGCTGGTTTCTACACGTCTGACGTGTAGAAACCAGCGTTTCCAGATAGCTCGTTATTCAGAAATGACTCCAGAAGCTGTTAAACTCAAGTGCAAGTCCAAGTTTGAGCCAAAGGTACTTGTTTGGATTGCTATGTCCGAGGACGGCCTGTCGAAGCACCTGGTGACACCTTCGGGCCAAGCGATCAATCAAGATGTCTACATCCAGAAGAGCTTGATGAAGCGCTTGATTCCATTCATCGAAACAGTTCATAAGAACGACGAGATCGATTTCTGTCCTGACCTCGCTACGTCTCATTACGCAAAGAAGACGCAGGAGTTCCTCCAAGCGAATAACATTGAAATTGTGCCTAAGGAGCGCAACCCTGCCAATGTGCCAGAACTCCGACCAATCGAAGACTTTTGGTCAGAACTCAAGCAAAGAGTATATGATCGTGGCTGGAGAGCAAATACCAGGGACCAGCTCAATTACAGGATCAGCTACTGCATAAAACGGATCAGTCAAGATCGCGTTCATCAACTTGGCAAAGCTTCGTTCAGCCGAGTGGACAAAGTTCGCAGTCATGGCATGATAAACTTATAATTTTTTAAAATCTGAATCTTCATATGCTTAACTTTAATCATCTTTTTACAGAAATAAAATTGCACCTTTAGTTTCAAAGTTATAAATTTTTTAGTTTTGTCCAGATTTCTAGGTATTGCATGTTATATATAGTGCTTTTTTAAAAAATAAAAGTAATATTTTATTGTTTAAAGCATGTTTAAACCATAAAATAAAAAATAAAAAAGATATTGAACAAATTTTTTATTTATTATAATTTTATTATATATTTTTTTATTTATTATAATTTTAAATAATTTTATTTGCGATAAAAATCTTTTTTAAATAAATCTTGCATGTCGGATGGCATTCTAAAACATAGGTTTGTATATAACAACGTTATCAAACATAAAATCAAAAAATATCATTTAAATTGCAATATATAAATATTTAAAGTAACAAAAATAACATCTAAGCTAGTATTTAAAATATCCCATGCAATCTTTTTTGCATCAATTTTACAAGATGGTTGCAGATTTCTATTGGAGCTCTCATCTAAATGGTATCTAATTCTTGCTTTAGGCTATTTATGGATTGTATTTGCACCTTGACTAATTCTTTGTCCATCCAAGCCCAAATAAATTCAATTGGATTCATCCATGATTTCACTGTTTTCTTTCATACATGATTTCACTGTACAGATTGTGTGGGCTGGTCCCAAATCTTGTTGAAATTGCCACCAATAGTTTTGATCAATCAGCATGTTTATCGATAGAACTATGCAGTTCTCTAATGTCTTTATATATGTATGTTGGTTGATTGTATGTTACATACTCCTACTCCGTTAAAATTAAATCAGCCCTAAATACCAACACTGCCACTTGGCAACCTCGGTACAACAAAGTGGTTACTATACTTTTCTAATTTTCTTTTAACAAGAATTTTGCTTTTTCTATTTATTATGTCAAAATTACTTTCATCACTAAAAATTACTTGCTTTCCTTTCTGACCACCTAATTCTCTCCTTACACCACCTAATTCTCTGACCACCTAATTCTTCACCTAATTCAATGACCACCTAATTCAAACACCACCTAATTCAATGACCACCAATTCAAACACCACCTAATTCTCTCCTTACACCACCTAAATCTTGTGAGCCGATCTCTGGCCGTCAACGTTTTTCAGTTTTCTAACAACTGCATAGACACCAATTTTATTAATATATACCTGACACAATTCTCTAAAATTTTTACTTTTCTTGTTCTATCTCTCTATTGCTGATCATTGAGCCATCCTTCATACCTATTATTTGCAACTTTGTTGCTTCATTCACTGCTTTTTGACTTATTTCTCTATATATTTACATTTAGGTCTTGTCAAATTATTTAGAAAGGCTTTAAATTTGACGAAACTGGTCATCATAAGTAATTTTATCCAACATTTTATGGGAAATTGTCAAACTAACATATAAATTAATAAAATATTTATGAATAATAGTTGGGTTTACCAGAAAGTAGTACCAAAGTCAATTAAAAAGTTTGTGCGCCATTTTTTTTTTTTATAATCTTTTCCGGTATGTTTTTTGTATACCTTTAAAAAAAGTAAATTATTAAAAAAAGTAACTATATATTAACTTGTTATTGGCATTTTAGTTGTAGAGAAATAATTTACTGTCTTCAAAAAAAAAATTAAGTCTTTAGGAAATATTTTTTTCTCAATTTACCTCCCAAATGCCGAGAAGGCCACTACAGACGAGGAGGCTACTTAATTGTGATTATAACCCTCTCTCAACTCTATAAATCCAAAGCATGAGCCTTGACAAACAAGGCCGCTGTGCAGAGAAACAAGTTGAGTGCAATACTACCAGGGATGTGGTGGGTATTGAACTCGAAACCTATCGCTTATGAAGCAAGCGCTCTACCACTACACCACTACTGCATAGGAAATACGATCTTTTGAAAAAAAAATGTACTCAATTTTGTACTGCTCTTTTTTTCTCATGTTTCTTTCTTAAATATGTATTATAATTAGCAAATTTTTTTAGTTTTGTTGTTCCACATAATTCACTTACCCAATTACCCACAATTCACTTCATTCATCCACAGAACAATTGCATCGAAAAGTTTGTTTTATTTGAAAAAAAAAATACTTTTTTTTTTAGGATTTCAATTTGGCGGAAACTATATTTCATTAGAAAATGTTCAAAATAAAAATATTGAAAGTGGTTGTGATGACTCAGACGTTTGTTCTTCTTTTCAATGTGGTGTACATGGATCATGCAAAACATATTATTCCCAGCCTCAATGCCATTGTGAACGAGGTTATCAAGGTCCTAGATGTGAAGACATTTGCCTTTCAAAACCTTGTTTAAATAGTGGTGTTTGTGCCCAATCTATGATATCAAAGTCTGGTTTTAAATGTATATGTCCTGGAAACTTTACAGGTTTATTTACTGCATTTTACAATACTGCTTTTTTATTATTTTGTTTTTTTTGAATTTAAGAAATTATAAATTTTTTTTTATAAAAATGTAGGAGATCTTTGTGAAACAGAAATAAAAAGTACTTGCGATGATGAGTATTATGGTGATCCTAAATCTGGTTTGTGTGGCCCATGTGAATGCAAAGCACATGAAAACTTTGATAATAAATGTGACAAAGATGGTCAAAAGAGTGGAATTCCTGGAAAATGTTTCTGCAAGGTGTCATTTTTTTAAATAAGGTTTTTTTTATTAACAAAAGAAAGTTAAGTTGCTTAAAAAACTTTATTAGGTTGATAAGTATGTCAGTAGTTGAACTGTGTTTTATATATATATATATATATATATATATATATATATATATATATATATATATATATATATATATATATATATATATATATATATATATAAATATATATATATATATATATATATATATATATATATATATATATATATATATATATATATATATATATATATATATATATATATATATATATATATATATATATATATATATATATATAGACACACACAATGTCAATACCATAATTATTCAAACAGTCATACTTTTCCATATAAGATATCAAAGTTTTAATTACTATTGAGAGTAAAACTGAAGACAAAATCTATCTGAGTTATATTTTATCTTCTTATTTATTAAGTGTACATCAAAATTAGTTGATAATGTGCATTGAAAATGATCTATTGAAAAGCATCAATGTTATCATTAAAGAATTATCTCTTGAAAAGCATTAATGTTATCATTAAAGAATGATTTCTTGAAAAGCATTAATGTCACTATTAAAGAATGATTTCTTGAAAAACATTAATGTCATCATTAAAGAATGATTTCTTGAAAAGCATTAATGTCATCATTTAAGAATTTTCAGGGAGAAAAACAAAAAAAATAGTAGCTAAGTTATGCTTTGTCTCCAACTCTGTCAATTAACTGTCAAAATAAGTTTTGAAGAATATGTGGATTTAAGCTTTGTGTTGTTTTCTTAAAAAATAAATGGCTTCCCATTGACTCAACTTTCCAAAGTTACAGCATCACCCTTTAAAAAAATCTATTTTTTCCTTGTCACCTGTGCCATTCTGACTAAAATGTGTATGTATGCGGTAATGGTGTAGTGGTGGAGCGTTCGCCTCATAAGCGAGAAGTTCCGAGTTTGATCCCTACCACGTCCCTGGTAGTACCGTGCTTAACTTATTTCTTCGCGCAGCAGCCTTGTTTGTTGAGGTTTGTGTTTTGGAGTTATAGAGTTGAGAGAGGGTTGTAACTTTCCTGATTCTTATAATTTGCTTTCCTGATTTATATAATTTGCAATCTTTTAAGTCGTCTGTCAATCGTTATCTTGCTTTACAATCTTCATCTTTTCTCTTCCAGTAACTTCCAACACTAATTAGTTGTTGCTTGCAGCCTTGTTGGAAGCGAAGATAATTAAAAAAAATAAAATAAAAAAAACTACAAAAGTAGCCTCCTCAACTGTAGTGGCCTTCTTGGCCTTTGGGAGGTGAATAATTAAAATAAAAATAAAATTAAAAAAACAGTTCCACACCTTAACGCTATATCAACCATGTTTGACACTCTATAATGCACACTGTTTTATCATACGTTTTACGACTTTTCTTCAGCAAACAACCTTCTCTTGAAACCAAAAATTGATGTTTTATTTTTTATATAGTTTTGCCTACTTTGTATTTTTATTATTTTTATGGTTTTCATCAAAGCATTTTAGTTAAAGAAAAAATTAAAGAATAATGAAAAAAATGATTGTTGTTAGCCCAAACCCTTCTTTTATGTAGCGGCAGTCCTTGCGCGTTCTCCCTATTTAGTCAGTTGATGTATGTAGCGTAGATATGAAGTCCCAGCATATACACACACATATGTATATACATACATTTTGTTATAAACAAGAATATGAAATCCCAGGAGCTCCAAAATTGCTTATGGGTATAAAAATATTACTTAGGGTGTAAAGCCTTTTTATCTATTATATTTAGCCCAGAGTCCTGGAGCATAAAACTCAGCTATTATTGAAATAAACTATTAAAAACAAAAAATATTTTAAATAAGTTTTTGAAAGAAAGTGGTTTCAAAACACATGGCAAAACCTTCGAAGTTTACTTTTCAGTATAAACCCCAAATTCTTGCACATTTTTGGCCAAAGGTGGATAAAAACATCAACCTATAAAAAAATTTAACATACATTTCTAAATAAATTTATTATGCATTTTTATTTGTCACTTATCACTGGGAGACATAAAAATGCATAAAACTCTCGGAAAAAAACAACAGGTGGTTTATTTTAAGGTTAGAACTCATATTTATGTATAAATTAACATAACTTAAATACTTTAAAACTGACAGCATTTTATTGTTAATTTAATTTTTTTAAGGACACATTCTACAGTCTGAATGGAAAGTGTGTCCCATGTGATTGCCTTCTGGAAGGATCCTTGACCCCAACTTGTAATAAGCTCACTGGTAATTGTATTTGTAAAGAAAAGGTTAGTGGTCAAAAGTGTGACAGGTGCCCTGGAGTGTGGCAAGAGTTACGAAGCAAATGTAATGGTTAGTTTATTTTAATTTTTTTTTTCACAATTTACAAATATAATTAAATAATAATATTGTACTTATTTTTTTAAATTGTTTTTATTAAATATTATATATTAATATATTATATTTTAAAAAACTGTAAATTGTTTGTCTCTCTTTGTGATTACCATTAGGTAGAAGTCTTTCGTCTTCCTGCTGACAAATGTGCTTTTTATATAACTTCTTGGATTCAGGTTGGCAAGGATTCTTTTATTCCTTCTCAACGATTCCAAGTCAAGTCTCACTCTTCTCCATGGTTTTCCTCTCATGGTTTCGCTGCAATTTCTATCGACAATAGTAAATGACCAGGGTTGATATTTGATCGGGGCCGGGGCCAGGGCCGGGTTTGATAAAATATAGCTATGGCCGAGTTTGTGACCATTTATACATCCTAAAGTATATATTTTTTATTCAAAATTCATGTTATTTTTGTATATATATGCATATATAAACATTTTGATCAACACGATCATCATAATCATCGTTATCATCATCTTCTGATCATCATCTTCTCTTTTGGAAAAACCATTTAAATACTAAAGTTTATATAAATATGAAAGGATATTGTATGCCAGCAATCAAATAAATAGCAAACATATGTTTATGTCCATAATATGTATGCATAAAGTGCATCTCAGAAGCTTTTATTCCTTCTAAACTAAAAGTTTGGAAGCTTTTATTCCTACTTTTCAATTTTAAGCCAAACTTCAGTCTACTCTGTGTTTTTCACCAACTTGAGCAGTTGCTTTATTAAACATTTATTTCAACTTTTTTACAAGAACATCTCTCTTAAAAACAAATGTCCTTTTATTATTCCAAGAAGCCAATGTAAAAAGGTCCCGTCTGATGTTAAGCTCTGTTATTCTCAGTTGACTAAATCTTATATCTTATATCAGATCTTAGGTTCTAGAGACTTTTCGTTAGTCTTCAACAATGTTATTAACTAAAGTAAGTCTAACATTTAATCTTATTAGTTATATAATATTTAATTTTTAATTTTTAAAAAGTGCTAAATAAGTGGTTCCAATTTTTCAAAACTCTAGAAAACACTTTGACCTCTCCAACTATCCTGAGATTAGTCTTCACTCTGTTATTAGTTTATTTATATAAAGGTTTGGAGATTATTAAATTATTTCTTACTAACTGAAGTTATAAAGTTATTCTTGAAGGCCTTAACTCTTCTTTATTTCAAGTAACTTTAAGGGTACCACAAGGTATCTTGTGGTACCCTTAAATCTTTGCTTCTGTATTGTTTCTTATCTACGATATCAATTTTCATGAAATTTAACACCTCAAGTGGCTCTATTTGTTGACGACTCAACTTTATACTCTTGTCTTAACAAAAAATCTTCACTTTTTGATTGCTTAGAACAAGCAGCTGATTTTTAATCTGATCTCTCTTCTGAACAAAGGTAACAGCCACAAGGCTTGCTGTGGCTTATGGATTTAAATTCTGGACTTGAAATTTGCAATTTTTGTTAAAGAACAAAACTGATTTTTTGCAAAATTTTTTTCCCTGATTTACTGCAAAAAAATATTGCAATAATGTTGGTATTCCTATATTGATGAATAACAACCCTCTTACTCTCAGACAAAGTCTAAAATTGTACATTGCGCGTTTAGCATGTAGCACATTGTAAATGTAATGTGATCATGGTGTAGTGGTAGAGCACTGGCATCATAAGTAAGAAATACCTAGTTTGATACCCGCCACGTCCCTGGTAGTACCACGCTCAACTTGTTTCTCTGCACAGCAACCTTGGTTGTCAAGGTTCATTATTCGGAGTTATATAGTTAAAAGAAGGTTAAAACTACAATTAAGTAGCCTCCTTATCTGTAGTGGCATTTTCAGCTTTGGGTGAATTAATATTAAAAAAATATAATAAATTAGACCTGCTTTATCTGCCAAGCTTTAGCCACTCCTATTGTTGTGAGGTTGCATTTCTTTCTTTTTTTTACAAATACAATCATTTTCATTGCACAAATAAGCTATCATCTCTATTACGGTAAACCAAAACTTATTCTTACTTGTTTCTTTTTCACAAGTTCCATCCTTTTACTTTATATGTCCCTTCATGCTATAAGAACTTTTATTATTCCAGTTTTTTTCCTTTTATATACAACCTACAACTTTTCAAGTCTTCAGTTAACCATTTCTTAGTATTTTTACATATTCTCTATTTTAAAGTAACTCACAACTTAATAGTGGTTGCTTCCAATCTTGTTGGAGGTAAATTAGAATTTGAAAAAATATAAAATATATGAAAAAATAAAAAATATAAATTATATCATATATATATATATATATATATATATATATATATATATATATATATATATATATATATATATATATATATATATATATATATATATATATATATGATATAAAAGAGTTGTATAAATATATTTACTATAATATAAATAGTAGTATATTATAACTATAATAGAGATAAATTTATTTCTAGAAATCAATACATCTTGTCCTGAATCATATGTTGAAGGAATATGGTGGAGCCGTATTCGTCCTGGTGAAACACAAATCGAATCTTGTCCAAGTGGAGCAATTGGAAACGCCACACGATATTGTCATGAAAGAGAAAGTTGGCTGACACCTGATTTATTTGGTTGTACTTCTGTGGGATTTGCAAATATTGATTCTGCAGTATGATTATTTTTATTTTTAAAGTTATTTTTGAATTTTTAATAATATAATAGTAAGGTCAATTTTTAATAATATAATAATAAGGTCAATTTTTAATAATATAATAATAAGGTCAATTTTTAATAATATAATAATAAGGTCACTTTTTAATGATATAATAATAAGGTCAATTTTTAATAATATAATAGTAAGGTCAAATTTAATAATATCATAATAAGATCAATACAAAAAAAAAAAGATCAAATGCAAAATATATGTGAGAGTTTTTAGAAAATATAGATTTATTTTAAAATTTAAAGTTATTTTGCATTGTACATTTACATTGCATTGTTACACAGCATTGTACAGCATTAATTCATTTATTTTATGAGGTAGTGTCTATGATGTATGAGGTAGTGTCTATGATGTTACGAGGTAGCATCTAGTAGTAAATTGCTACATCCCTTTCATAATGATGTGAAAAATCAAAAGTTTTGATAATGATGTGAAAAACCATAACTAATGCATAATGGTCTGTTTTTATCGTTTTTATACCTTCTAAGAGTTTTTAACACTTGGTAATTATGTGTGCATAGAAATATAAATATATATGTGTGTGTGTGTGTGTTGCTAAACTTGTTGTTTAATGTTTTGATATGAAATTAATATTTCCTAAAATGGATTTCAAATAAAAATATAAAGATAATGACATATCGTTATCTGTAACAATATATCATTTGATAAATGAAATAGAATCATTTCAAAATGAAAATGTCTAATAAGTCCCAAAGTCGTATTTCAGTTTTTTATTAGGACACTAAGATTGTTTTCAATTTCTTTTCCAATTCTGTTCCATGCTTTTTGTGTGGATTCACATCCAAAATCTTTTTATTTATTTTTTATAAATTTTTAGATTTATACTCAGATCAAAGTCTGTAAATATTTTTTGGACAGACCTAATGACTACGCTGACACTCACGCACACGCACATAAATATTTTTTGGACGGACCTAATGACACTCACGCACATGCTGACACTCACGCACACGCACATAAATATTTTTTGGAAGCACCTTGATCCATATCTGACCATATATCACTCTGAAAGCATAAATACATTTTGTTGACAATTATTCTTCTGTGTGTTTAATAATTAGTTTTTAAATAGTTTTAAAAACTTTTTGTTTAAGATCTCACAGATTCACAAGAGAAATATTTCTTCAATACTTGTAAACAACATTGCCAGTCAATTAGATTTTGCAGCAAGCTCTGCATTACGTCTCTATGGAAAAGATGTTGAAATTGGAAATAAAGCTTTGACTGTTCTAGTGACTTATGAAAGTGCGCAATCAGGTTCAAATCTTGTTTCATCTGACGATCATCGCTTTGTTAAGGTATTGTTATTGTTTTGCTTATAATAGATATTGTATATATAGCAAATATACTTGCATATAGTATATATAAACATTATTTATTAAACTTAAGTGTATTAACACTGTTTTTACTTTTTCAAGAACATTATAAAGTCAGCGAGTTGTCTTTTTGCAGCAGAAGTTGCAATGTTTTGGAAACCTATACAAGAGGTATTTATTTCTATCAATTGTTGCTACAACAAAACTATTTTTATCAGTTGTTGCTACAATATCTATAGTAGATAAGTGATAGTTGTTAATTTTTTATCTACATTTTAACATGTTGATACATTAATTTCTGGATTTTTTTTTTTGCACAAAATGTGTAAATGTTTCAATAAATCACTTTCCTAATTTTCAGTATAGGGTCGTTTCCACACCTAGCATGAGTCGACACTTATCGTAGGTTTTAAATATTAACATCAATTTTGCACTAAGTAGTAATTATTTTTTTTATATATATATTTTGTTTATCAACAACATCGTCATGCAGTTCTATTACGACACATAGAAACCGCAATACATAGTTACTTATATAAATTCAGTGGGCTTATTACGTCAGCCTATGAAAATACTTTTTTTTTAAGTACCAGCTGTTAGAAGCGTTTCAAATAAAACAAGATAATTTAAGAAGATAAGATAAAATTTTATTTTTAAATTGATTTAATAAGGTAAATAAAACATGGATCATTATTAATATTATTAAAACCACTTATCATTATAGTATCAATGAAGTATTTTTGAATTCACGATAAGTATGAACTAAAAAAATGTCATTCCATATATATCGTATATCCAATAAATAATCAATTTGTTTCTTTTTTACTATAAATTAAAAATTTCATTTAAATTCTTTTACAATGGCAAGACGAAAATATAAGACAAAAGTTTGTAGCTCAAAACGAAGACTTCAATATACAGATAGCCAATTAAGAGATGCTATTAATGCTGTTAATAAAGGTATGGTTGTGTACAAAGCAAGCAAGGCGTTTGGAATTCCTTATCAGGCGCTTCGTGATAAAATATCTGGAAAAACTTCTCTGAAGATACACTGCGGTTATGAATCGGTACTAGGTGAACACATTGAAAATAAATTAGTTGAGTGGTTACTAACATGCACCAGAATGGGATTTGTCGTGTCTGTAGTACAGCTATGAGATACTGTGCAAAAATGCTTGAATTCCAACAATATAAAAACACAATTTACTAACAACCGTCCTGCAAAAGGTTGGTTTTATGTATTTCTTTGCCGTCTCGAACAGTTATCTCAAAAACGAGGTGAATACTTAAATCAAGCTAGAGGAGGAGTAACTAAAAAAGCCATAAGAGATTGGTTTACTGAAATTCCAAAGCTTTTAGGAGAAAACGCTCAATTTTTAAATGATTTGATGCGCGTTTTCAATATGGATGAGAGTGGTTTTCAGTTGTCACCCAAAACTAATTTATTAATTGGTGAACGAGGAAAAAATACATATGAAGAAAGTGCTCCAATTATTAAAAAAAGCATCACCACTTTATTTGCAGTAAATGTCAGCGGAGCTTTTGCTCCACCATTAACAATTTTTAAATATGTTCGTCTTCCAAATAGAATTATAAATACTGCTCCATCAGGATGGGGTATTGGAAAAAGTGAAAATGGTTGGATGACCGCAGAATGTTTTTTTGAGTATATTACAAACATTTTTCATCCATTTTTGATAAAAGAAGAAATTCCTTTACCAGTTTTTTTTTTTTTTGATGGTCATGCGTCCCATTTTTCTATCAAACTTAGTAAGTTTTGCTCTAAAATGGAATAATTCTCGTTGCTTTGTTCCCAAATGCAACACATATTTTGCAGCCGCTCGATGTGGCAGTTTTTGGGCCAATGAAAGCAAAGTGGAAATTTTTATGCCGACAATGGCACATTGACCATAAAGGACAAGAAATAAACAATGAAAATGTACCAGAAGCATTAAATTCATTTATATTTGATCCTTCTATGGCAAATAATGTTAAAAGTGGTTTTAAAAATACCGGAATATTTCCATTTGATGCTAATAGTGTGGACTACACAAAAATTGTTCAAAGACTATCTGAGTCAACTGTGGCTCCGACTCCTTATTTAGAAGAGAATCAATCAAGTGTGACTTTATTAGCTTCCTCTCCCATAAACTTTATTGAAAACTTCATTGATCCAAGTATTTTAGAGCAGTTTAAAATAGCTGACGAACATTTAGGTTGGAAAGGTGACCTTGAATATCTCTACCTGTATCTTTTTTGGAAAAGAGCCTCATCTGAAACATATAAGACCACAATTTTACCTGATGAAATACAACAGGGTAATAAAAATCTATCAACAACTTGTAATTTAGAAAATGTGCAAATTATAACCGGTATGGAAATACCTGATTGCATTATTGCAGCGGATATAGAACCAAAACCAGCTTGTTCTAGTTTGAAAATAGCAGCAGAAATCATTAGTCCAAATGAAAGTGTTTTAATATGGCCAAAACAACTAGTCCAAACGTCCAAGCGCAAAATAAAACGTTTACCATCTGTTGCAACATTTAAAACGTGGCAGCAAATTCAAAAGACAAAATTGTAAAAAAAATTAACAAATAAATGATGAAAAATTAAGAAAGAAACAATTAGCTGCAGATAAAAAGTCAAAAATAGAAGAAGAAAGATTAAGAAAGACACAAATGGCTATGGAGAAAAGGTTATTAAATGAAAAAACTAAAAAAGAAAGAGAAAACATGAAAATTTTGAAAAAGAAAAATAAAGTCTCAAAAGAAAAAGTAAGCCTTGAAACTGAGTCAGAAAACGAGTTCCATTGTTAACAATAGTTATAAAATAAGACTCAGATAATTATGATGAAACTCTATCCATTCCAGTTTAAAAGATTTGTACTAAAGTAATGGAAATGCTTTAAAAATCTTTAGTTTTAATTCAAAATAATGTTTTCATTACTATATAATTAATGTTTATTTAATATTTTTTTTTTTTTTAATTTATATACCTAAAAACGTTTAATATGTTAATGTTACTAATGCATTAAATCTTCATTTGAAACCGTGAGCGCATTATAAACCAGTCACTAAAGCAAGTTTTAAGATATACGATAAGTGTCAACAATATATACGATAAGTGTGAAACACTTACAATAAGTATGGAAAACTGCTCTTTAAAAGTTTGATCAAAATAAGTACATTATTGATTTAAATTTCAGAGTGAGAATAATTTTAAACTAACTCTTATAGTACTACATTGATGGCTGCAAAAATTCATTTCTAATAAATTTCTACTTTTTGAGTAATCTAACATATTATAATAACTTTTGTTAAACTCACGGTAAGTGTGGAAACCACCCTAGTCTTTTTATTTAAAAAAAAAAAGTAGTTCGCAATTCCATCAACCAAAACTCAGTTTTTTTACTATATTTATCTCTTGATATTCTAAAAGCTTTTATTTATCCAGTTTTTTTTTCTTGCACATCAATGTCTTAGAATTTTCTCCTGTCTTTCATGTCTTTTATTTTCCATACTCATACATTTTACAGTTTTTTAAACTTTCTGTCAGCTATTTTTTTTGCTGTTTAACAACATTCTTTGTTTTTTAACAACTCCCATTTTAAATAGTGGTTGCTTGCAGCCCTGCTAGGAGTAAATTATTTAAAAAAAAAGTGAGTTATATAAAAATGACAGCTTTTTGTTTTGCTTTTTTTCTTAGTTTTTTGTTTCTTAGTTTGTTTTTTTGTATTTATGTTTTTTTGACATTTCTGTTTTTAAACAATTTTTAATTTTTATTTTTCAAAGAAAACCTCCGGATCTGCAGGTGTAATGTTACAAATGGAGAAGTTTCTTACTGTATTAACAAATAATTTAGCTTTTATCAAAAGTCGGAGGTATCGAAGATCTCCTCTGCAACTTATACCTTACAGCCAAGCATCAAAGAACATTTGTAATTTTTTTTTTCCTTATATTTTTTTAGATCATTTTAGCTAAAAATATCATTTTAAGATAATGATTAAAAACAGAAACAAACAATTCTCATTGGTTGATGATTCAATAAATTGCAGAACACAAATATTTTTTAAATTCTTTATAATAAAATTGTCATTTAAAATATTATATTTAAAATAATATTTTTGTGCCCAATACACCCTCTAACTTGTAATTTACTTAAGTTGATTTGTGTCATGTAGCATGAAAACAACTGTATGTTGAGTAGGTAGGCATTAGTTTTTTTATTTGTATTTTTTTTTGCTTTTTTTATTTTATCTTATTTATTTATTTTTTTTATTGTAATAGTTACTGTTGTATTACATTGTTGCTTCCATGTTTGAGGTTTTATTAGGTACTAAAATTAACCCAAAATTGCTTTTGTGTAATTACTATTCAAGAGTAAAAATAAAAATGAAACTCCGTGTCAAAAAAATGAAACTCCGTGTCAAAAAGTGAAAAAATGATACATTTTAAACATTGTACTATTAGCACAATCTTTAAATTTTTGTCAGATTTGCAATTGTTTGAATCATTATTTTATTGAAAATTACTTTTTTGTATTCAAATTTGTCAATAGTTAATGATCAGTAAAATTATTTATTTTGTTAGACTTGGAAATTCAATCACTTGACATTAGTATAAAAAATACTTTTCCTCAACAACTTTCCTTGTGGTGGAAAGAATTTCCTGTTTGGGGTTCTTTAAATACTGATATTGTTATTTCAAGTGATATGTTTAATAACAGCAATTCAAAAAGTAAAATTGTTATTTTGAATTTATTGAATTTCATATTTTGTTATTAATATAATCTTAAATAATTTTAATTGAAATATATTTTAAATAAATTTTAAATTAATATGTTAATTTGTTAAATAATTTAATAATGTAATTTAGTGATGAATACAAACATTGGTCTAATTATCTATAAAACCCTTGGTAATTTACTTCCATCAAGTTTTGATACCATTGCAAGGTCCTTAATTTTTAAATTTTTTTTTTATTTTAGTGAATTAAGTTCTAATTTTGTGAAATTAGCAACTACAAAATATTTATAATTATTTATAATTTTATTTTTATATTATCATAGTCGTAAATATAGTGTTGATGTATACTCCGATGTATTTACTGTAACCATCCCAAATATTGGATCATCTGAGTTTGTTTTAAGAATAAAGCACAAGAATATAACGGTACACTTTTTTTTTCTTTGATTTTTTTTTTTTTTTTTTTCATAGCTTATGCATTTTTCTTTTTTTAAATATTTTGAAAACTGTATCATGAGAATGTTGTCATCAGAATATGAAGCAAGCATGTGTCAGATTAGTTTTGTTAAAGTTTAAATAAAATCAATGCCAATATATATATTGTATAATAATATAATGTATAATAATAATGTAAAAAACTCATAATCAATGAGAGTATTGTAATAAAAACAGGTTGTCTTAATGTCTCAGTTATCAATGTCTGTTATAATTACTTTTTATTATATTTTATTAGAATTATATGCTATAATTAGATTTTTTATTATAGCAAATGTTTATCAAAAACTTTGAATTATTTTTTTTAATGATGTGAATTTCAATGGTATAATATGTTAACTTCAATGCAAAATGTTATGTTTTATATTCTTTAGACAAAAATTCAAGGGCAAACCTTAATTTGTGCATATTGGAATTATTCTTTAGAGTAGGTTTTTTTTTCATTATTTTGAAGTTAGTTATTTAAGTCTTTAAATTATTAAAATAAATTAATTTATTATTAATATTAAAGTCTTTATATATTATTATTAATATTAAAGTCTTTTTAAATTACATGAAATAAATGCTTTTTATGATTATGAAGATAATGAAAAAATTTATTTACATAAAATAAATTTTAGTTATATATATAAATATAATTTTTATTTTATGTTTGTTTGGTTTTTATAATAATTGGTTTGCAAATTTTTATCAAAAGTAATTTTCTTAGATTTACCATAAATATTATGTTAAATATTAACATAATTTTCCAATGTTTGGTTGAAAAGTTTTATGAGCAAATTCATACCTACAAAGTTTAAAAACACAATAATAGGATTTGATGATAGTCTACCCCTAGAAATAGTATCATTTAATAATTATAACATTGTATTTATTTATTATTCCTTATCTATATGGAAAATATTATAATTATATCAATATGAAAAATATATAGCATAAATAAAAATATGTATATTTTTAGTTAAAATATTGCATACTTTTTTTTAATAGTATCTCCTTTTATAACAATATTAGTTATATTTAAATTATTTCAACTGTAAAACTATTTTTAATATATATATATATATATATATATATATATATATATATATATATATATATATATATATATATATATATATATATATATATATATATATATATATATATATATATATATATATATATATATATATATATATATATATATATATATATATATAAGTAAGAAACTTATACTTTTCACAAAATAAAAGATTGCAATTGATTTAAAAAAAAATAATATCATAACCTAATTTTTAACACCATTTTCATATTATTAAAGTTTACAACAAATTTTTATATTTTAATTGTTAAAAAAAGTTCCTTAAAATCAAAACTAAAAGTAAAGAATAATTTTTTTTTTCTAATTTATAAAAAAAAAAAATTTATACTCATTTACTCACTTTATAAAATTGTTACTGTATTATTATTGAAATTTTTTATTCTTTTATGAAATAAATATATATTGCTTATTAAATTATAAATGATTAAACCAAGAAGTAAAAATAAAGTAAAAAAATATAAAAGTTTATTTTAAACTTAAAAATAAAAAATTTACAATTTAAAAAAATCAAATCTGACTTTTATATCTCATTTATTAACTTCAATCATTTTAATAATAAAAAAAAAATATTGCAAAAAAAAAGTTTTAGAAAAAAAAAAAAAAAACTTATTCACCTCCCCAAGGCCGAGAGGCCTCTACAGTCAAGGAGGCTGATTTTGTGGTTACATCTCTCTCTCAACTCTATAATTTTGAAACACAAATATTGACAAATAAGGCTGCTGTGCGGAGAAACAAGTTAAGCGTGGTACTACCATGGACGTGGTGGGGATCAAACTCGGAACTTCTCACTTATGAGCCAAGCGCTCTACCACTACACCACTACCGCCAATTAGTATAATAATTAGAAAACTATATTTAACATATATTTTAGGCATACCTCAGGTGGAGGTTGGTCTCCTAATGGCTGCAGCATGGTATCTGATAATTCTAGTGATATTGTTTGTTTATGTAAACAACTTGGGTCCTTTGCTTTAATTGGAATTAAATACTTGGTAAGATTTTTATATAATATTAATATTCCTATTCTCTGAGGAATTTTATTTAATATATATTGCTAAACACATAAATAGTTAGCATCAAAAGTTATCATAATGTTTTAATAATGTTTTAATTATAACCAATTTTATAAAAGTTTCGCTCATCATTATTGTTATACACAAGAGTTATTTCTCAAAATTAATAATTAGTATTTTTTGTTGCGTTTAGGAAGATCTTCAGAGAACTTATCAACCAACATCATTAACATATTTAGGGCTATGTGTCTCACTGGGTGTTTTGTTCATTATTTTTTTGATATATATTTTTTTAAGGTTTGTCATTTAACATGTTGTATGTATTATAGATGGTTAAAAATGGCTTTTTATTTGTTTACTGTGTATGTATTGTCTATTTGAAAATTTTTCAGCCAGTTAAAATCCAACTTCAACTCAATCCACAAGAATTTGGTGTTTGCAACATTTTTAGCGGAACTTGTGTTTATGCTTGCTGTAAATAGAACGTATATTGGAGAGGTCTAAATTTTTTTTTTACTCAAAATGATCAAATTATTAATATTTAATATTTATTAGCTATGAACTTGAAATAAAAACAATTTTTGCGCTATATTATGATTAACATAATAAATTTGTCTCATATAATATATAATTTAAAAAAAAAAAAAAATTGGGTAATAAATCTAAGTTACTTTTGTTTAGAATGGATGCCGTATTGTGGCGATTATAATACATTACTTTTTTACATGTACATTTTCGTGGCTTCTTGTTGAGTCTTTGCACATGTATAGAATGATTCTTGAACCTAGAGACATTAATTATGGTCAAATGATGTTTTATTACTTTATTGGGTGGGGGGCTCCTGTTATGATTGTTGGAGTGACAGCTGGTTTAAAACCTGATGGTTATGGAAATGTAGAATTGTAAGTTCTTAAAATTTAATTTAAAGCTATAAAAAGTTTCAAAACTATATTCATATAAACTATTTAATTTAAAAATAAACTATTTATTTAATTTATAAGTAATTTTAAAGTATTATTTTTAAAAAAATTATTTTTAGTTGTTGGATTTTAATCAGAGACCCTGAAATTATGTGGACATTTTTCTCACCAATGTTAGCAATAATCGCTGGAATTATACTCCTAATGGTTTGCGTTGCAATTACTAGTTGTGAGAAAAAAGTTGACAAAAAGAAAATTAGAAAAATTCAAGCTATAAGATATCGTGTCCTTATTTCATTTTTTTTTCTTCCGCTTTTTGGTGGAATGATTGTGGCAGCTGTCATTACTGTTACATTTGATCATTATTTGTTTCTTTATATTTTCCCAGGATGCTGTGTATTAACATCTTTGTACATAGCTATATTTTATTTGGTTTTGAACAGAAAAGTTCGTAGAGAATTATATAATGCTTATATGCGTATAAAGACTGGTGATAGATCGTACGGAATAAAAAATAACAAAAAGTTTGTAAGTTTTTTATGTGAATATGTATTAAAGTAATGTCAAAATTACATTACAAAAAGATATTTAGGATTTTTTTTTTTTAATTCTTTTTATTATAATTAAAACAAAAAAAATTGTTTTTATAATTAAAAATAAAGTGTTATTTGGTTTGATACAGAAACCATCTCTGGGGAAATTACTTGATGATGAACGTGGTCAATTGATTTCTGAAAAATACAGGGCCACTATACAAGCTTTTAATGTTACTGCTGTTTCTTCTACATCAGATAGCAGTGATACAGATGGAGGAAGATATCCAAGGAGAATAATTACTAGCTCTGATGCAACAGGTAATAAATATTTTGTAACATATTCTTTTTTTTTCTAATTTATGTCATTTTAGTTTTTCAACATGGAATCTTTTTATCTTTTGTTTTCATTTGCAGTATTTTCATTTGTTTTTTTATTGTTTTTGTTTGATTAGATTTTCAAACTACAAATAACGATTCATCAGATTCTTCTGAAGAAGAGGAATTTGAAAAACGAAGAGTTGTTCTTGATTCAGATTCGGATTCCAGTGATAATAGCTCAAGTAAAAAGAGTTTTGATATTTTAAATTTAATTGTGAATAAATATTTTTAGTTTTATTGAATAGTAAGTTAAAAAAACTTGAAATATATTTTTTAATTTTATTTATTTAATTTTGTTATTTGTTTGTGTGAATGATAATCCTTTTTGTTTTGTTTATGCTAAGTCTATATTGGTTAATTTTTTATTTTCTAAACTTTAATTGGTTATTTTAATGTTTATGTTGAATTTTTATTTGTCATTTCTAAATTCAATTTTAAGATATTTTTATTATAGGAGCTGATAATTTTCATTTCATAAACAAAAATGGTAAAGCTGCTCAACCGGCTTACAATCACAGTATTCATCAAGTGGAATGGAAACAAGCCAATCAAAAAAAGCTTATTAAAAGAAGTAAATTTCACATAATTCTTTAATCAATATTTTTGCAATATTTTATTTTTTACATTTAATTGTAGTTAACTCTGTTTTAGCATATGCTTCTGATGGACCTATGCACTCAACACCCTCAGGTATTTTCACTTTTTTTTGAATATTATTAGATCCTCAGCGCAATTATAGAATTAAATATTTTTACAATGTGTGATTTGCTTATTTCTTCATTATTAACGACAAAGTTTTCAATTTAATAGAATTTTAAATATTATATTGGATAAATAGAAATCAATTATAGATTTTGATTACTTAACTTGGTTTGGTTCATTTTTTGGTTAGTTTTGCATATTATGTTTTGTACTATCTAGTATGTATTAAAAATAGATAGTTTAAATATTATTTTTACTCACAAGTAGTATTGAAAACACTACTTTCATTCTATTTGCAATCATCAGGTAAATTATAACCTTTTTTTTTTTTTTTTCGGTTAAAAATATTTACATACAAAAAGAGCTACATTTATTGAATTATCAAGCACATTGTTTTATATAATTTTATCTTAAGCTTTGTGGTGGCTTAATAGAAACTTTTTTTTGTGTCAGTATTTTGAAATTTGCTTGTTATATTCAGCAGCTCTTTTGTATTTTTATATATTTAAAACAGGCTTGGAAGGAATGGCATACAATCGTACACTGTAACTGTACACTGTGATTTTTTTCTTTAATTTTTAACGCTTATTCTTTTTTTCTTTACAATTTGACCATGACTGTTTTAATGTTTTAACAATTTAAATGTAATAAAAAAAAAATCGTTATGTTATAAATAACTTTTAATTGTTGATCTTTTGTAAAGTTTTTATTTTAAACTTTAATTTTAATGATCATAGTTAGATATAATGAATCATAATGCGTTTAAAATAAACGCATTTTGTTTAAATTAAAGTTATATTTAAATTTTTTTTTTAGTAGGCAAGATAAATAGTTTTTTAGTATTTTAAGAATAAATTTAAACATTTGAAATTATTTTTCAAGGTCTTTCTAAAAATCTTTTAAAAGATTTTTTAAGTTACTTTAAATTATAAGTTGTGATGCAATGGCTTAATTGGTTTGTGAAAGAAAAAAAAAGTGGCGGTTGTACTTGTTTGGCACCAAACTGTTGTAATAACTCTAAGTATAATAAAAACTTTTTATGTAATACCCAAGGCAAAAGTTTTAAGAAAATTATGGATGAATATAATTAGCAGAAAAGACTTTTAACCTTTGTTGTCACACAGTTTGTTCAGCACATTTTCCAGGTCTTCAACATTTGTAACTCACATTGGAAAAAGAATTAGAAACAAGAAAAATTGCATCTGTACCAATTCATGTTGAACATTCAATTGCAAAAAAATAAAAAATCTATTTCCGCTTTTGGTGGCTCCTGACATGAAGAAAATATGGGCCATTGTTTGTTATTTAGTTAACTTTCTACCCCTCTAATTAAAACTGATAATGTTGATGAGACAGAATAAAAAATAACTTTTATATTTTGTAAGTTATTATTTTCTTTTAAATATTTTTGTTGACGTAAAATTGAATAAAAAATCTGTTAACTCAGGAAAAAAAACTGTATTCTATAAATCTGCATTATAATCTATTGTTTCAATGTACAATTATTTTTTCTGTATAAACAATAAAATCAATTGTTTTAATTTCTGTTTAGTGCCATAACACCTTGACACTGATAATAATAAGGATGCTTTACTTTAAATTTTGGAGTACATTGGAGACATGCTTCTTCAATTGTTAAATATTTTTTTGATGAAGGGCATTTTACTTCAAGTACTTTTTCAGAGCTCACTACTCCATCAGGACTACAACCCAACTATGGGCATTTGAAGTTTATAGAAAAACCACATTGTGTAACATTTGGCTTTGTTATGTTTTCATATTGTTTAATAACTTTTTCTTCAATCTCTGTTCCCCATATACAGACCTACTTTTATACTTTTAGTTTGTAAAGCTTTTTTCAAAATAGATATTGGGTAATTTTTTTTATACCTATTCATCTCACTACGGAAATTTGACCCTGTTAATTGTTTGCTTCTTTCTTTCATAATTTGCTTTTAAATTGCTTAATTGTATTGACTCGAATATTTTTAGCTTCTTCAATGTCAATGCTTTAATGTAATTCTAAAAATGCTTTTTGTTCAGTAGACAAACAAGTAAAATCATATTTTTTCTAAATTAATATATAGAGTATTAATAACTAATCAATCATATTTTTTTACAAAAAGGTTCTGCAATATCATTTTCTATAAATGTTGACAGAGACAAATTAAAAAATGTACATGTTTCAAAATTGTTATTACAAATTATTTCAGAAATGTGTGTCCCCTGGTAGAGATTTTTTAAACCTTTACAAAGTGTTTGAAGTTGCAAATTTGAAGTTTAATAAGAATTTAGTAATGAAAAATATTTAAGGGTTCCTGAAACTAAAGGTCTTGTTCGAGTATTATTTGTGTCTTTATAGGTGTTCGGTTCTGTTTTTTCAAAATTTAAGTCTGAAAATAAAATTGCTTCAGAGTTTGTTGATTACCTGGAACATGCCATATCTGTAAAATCTCAGGACATGTGTCGGTTTATGGGACCACTTTAATGTCTGACTCTTTATAATTAACTAGTTGGTATAGTGATGCAGCAACATGTTTACAACAGCCTCCTGCACCAGTTTTATAAATGCATTTAACATAAAGTATTTCACCAGTAGACTAGCACAAGTGTGTATAAACTTTGTATTGCTTACAATTCATAGATGCTTCAACATTGCACTTTACAATAAACAAATTTATAGATGCTTATCAATTGCTATGGCATTTATGACATTTTTTTACATAATTTTCTTTAAATAAACCATAGCCAAGAGTTTGATACTTTTTGGCTCCCCTACAATATCTACAGATATAGTCCCATTAATAAGATAATCCTTAATAAAATAATGAGTTATATTAGGCAAAAATGAAATGTCTCTTGTCCAAGTTGAAATACTGTTGCTTATAGATTCTTCTCCATCGATTGCAACAAATTCATCATGGGTATTGAAAAACAGCTTTAGATGCCAGACAAGAAAAAAAAAGAGCTCTCAGAAGAACTAACATCAATTTTATTTTCTAAATTAGCATTGAAAGAACCCACTATAATATTATATACTTCAAAAAACCGATTGTTTAGATTTAAATAAATACAACTAACACAATACATTGCCCATTTGACGATATATGGGAAAAGTTTATTAAAAATGTAACAAAAAGTAATTTTCACTTCGAGTTGGTGTTTTTTGAGTTTTGTTTTAAAGCTTATATATGTTTTTATTTGTAAGGAATTGTTTTGTTTTTTTTGTTGTGTTTTGAATTTTTTTTTCCTAGATTAAGTTTAGGTTTTTTTTTTAGCACATTTCTGAAATGTTTAAATCATCAAAACACCATATCACTCGTGGTCAAGTTGTTAATAAAAAAAATAATTTGCAATAACGTTTGATTGCGCGCTATTCCTGTCCAAGCCTGTTTTTACTTTTGCACAGTAATGAGTAAGCATTTTATGTGTTGTTGTAGGCAGTTGCATTTTTTATGATGTAACATTGTAACTCTGGTGTTTCTTTATGTTTTTCTTTATGTTCTCTCTTTACGTTTTTTAAAAATATTTTAAGAGCATGGTTGCATTTGAATATTTTTTAGTTTTAAAAGATTGTTTAAGATTTGCTCATCTTTTTTCCCACACACACACACCCTCTGACAAACCAAAGTATGCTTTACTTGGTGTGTTTGGGGAAAATGTTGTGTATTTATAAATTATATTTGTCATTCTACAATTTTAATTCAACTTATTTGCTTGGTTTGCATTTGCAGTTTCATACTTTGATTTAAAATAATATATGTAAAAAATAAATTTTTATTTAAATAATTAAAAAAAAAAGTGTATAAAGTTTTAACAAAAGTTTATAAAACTTTCAGATGGCCCAAGAAATGAACCCAAGAAAAGTCTGTTTGTTGAATGAATACATATAGTTTCTGAAAATCTTTATGATGAAGTTTAAAATAAACAAAATAGTATAACAAAATTAATATAAATATACACAAAAAATTAATGCCTAATTAAAAGTTATTATTTAGATTTTGAATGTAAATGGTTTTACTTAGATGTTAAATGCATGTTATAAAGTGTTTTATTATTCTAGTACTCACTTGCCTGCTATGTTTTTTTTTATGTTTTTTTTTTTGGTATTTCATAACAACTAACCTAACATATATCCTATTGGTTAGTATAATTATTATAAAAAACTTGTTTGATTTATGAAATGAGCAATTTTACAAATAAGATATTATATATATGATAAAGATTAAAACCATAGCAGCATCGACAACAAAAAAGTCTCATTACTTTAGCACACTTGTTTGTTTTATAGTAAAATTTTATTTATTTTAGAATCAGAAATATCTGAAAAAAAAAAGCCATTTAAAACGGGGTTTAGTAAAGATATTTGTGATGTTTCTTCAGAACTTAAAGAAATGAAGAGTAACCCAGCTAACTTATCCGGAGCAATGAACCAGAACTCCATCTTGTTAGAGACAAATAATTGGTAATCATTTATTAAAGTTTTTTTCTAATGTTTAATTAGTATAAACTTTTTAAACAGTTCAGTATTTTTAGCACAAAAGACCAACCGGTTAGCATATTAAAAAAGAAATCTGTGTATGATGGAACCCGAAAACCTAAGCTGCTTGTAAAAGACAGTACTCGTAGGTTACTGTTAGCAAAAGATGAAGGGTAACTATTAAATTATTACAAGTTATTCAATTCTTTCGTTTTTGATATAATTTGTTCATAATTTTTTTCTTCTTTCTTTGTCAGGCTGAATGATTCTCAAGTTTAAAAGCAAAGAATACAAACTTTATCCACATTTAAAAGTAATACAAGTGCAGTTTTAAAGCAACTGTTGTATTTTGAAGCAATATAGACACACATTCGAAAGCCATATTTCCATGTTTCTATAGTTTCATGTTCTAGTGTTAAGTGATAAAAGTGAAACACAACATTTTACAGTTGAATGATGCCAGTGACCAATACATGCCTGGAGTAGCAGTTAACAAACAAGCAACATAAATGCAAGTTTGAAGATATTACAGTTTCAAGTTTGAAATAAACGCAGTTTCATGATTGCGCCGAGTATAGTTCCAAGTTTTTAACTAATACAATTTCATGATTAAAGCCATTAGAGTTCCATGTTTGACATCAATACAGTTTTATGATTAAAACCAATACAACTCTAAAAGCTGGTGAATTGTTTTATACTAACATTAATTCGATTTCAAAAATAAATGTGATATTGTACATAGTATAAATGTGACTATTTATGAATAAGAGGTTATTTTATATTTTCATATGATTAATTGCTTTTTTGGCTTTTATTTTGATTTTTTCGTTTTTTTCTTGTCTAAAAATTTAGAGCTTTTGTATGTTGCACATATGTGCATATATATATATATATATATATATATATATATATATATATATATATATATATATATATATATATATATATATATATATATATATATATATATATATATATATATATATATATATATATATATATATATATATATATATATATATATATATATATATATATATATATATATATATATATATATATATATATATATATATATATATATATATATATATATATATATATATATATATATATATATATATATATATATATATATATATATATACATTTAAATGTAAACCATATGTTGTATGTAAATCTGCACAGTAGTACGTATACAGACTGGAGCAAAGTAAGATTTTCTGACGCTTTCTCTCTCCTTTCCTCCCTCTCCTCTGCTAATCTCTGATAAATATAATGTGGCTATCTCTCTCCCCGATCCCTCACCCTTCTCATGCTATTTTATGCTATAAAGTATTTACCGTTACTGATGTAATTATGGTTGCAAAACACATGCATACCTTTTCACATCTATTGTTTACTATATTTATTTGTGTGTTGGTTTTAAATAAAGCTAACGGATTTTTTATTTTTTAACATTATAACAAATTTCATTTCTAATTTTTTTTTAAAACTGGTATTTTTTAATTGTATAAAAAACTTTATTTTTTATTTGAAGGTGTTAAATATTTTATAAATATATACGTTTTTATTTGTATAATTGACTGCCAGATATCTGATGATCTGCGGTTCTAGCTGAGATATCGAACTGTTGTTGGATATCAAATAGATATATTTAGCTGATTGTCAGATATCTGATGGTTGCTATTTGAGTGTCAGATATTTAATGAATTGTAGATGATTTAAATAATTTTATAAAAAGCAAAAATATATTTGTACTGTTCAACCTTAAAATTTGTTTAGTTCAAACACAATCTGTGTGTTCTATCTGTCCTGACCCTAGGTTTAATTTTTACTATTATAAAACGCCGTTGTCTAAAGTCAAGGTTAACATTGAAAGACTTTAAACAGCTTTTGGTTTATTTCAATCCCTCGTGTTAATCTTCACATTTCCAATAAATTTGTGCGCGCGTAAATTTAATAGTATGTCATAGTTTCTTATGCGCAAAATCGTATAAAAGAAAGTAAATACACAGATATATTACGAACGCACTCTTGAAAAAAACAGTGCGTCGCGTTGGTTTGACAAGGCTCTAACTGACATTTTTGCCAAAATTTACTTTATCATTTTACTAGACTATTTAAATCATGACGAACAAAATAAACTGAAATTTACTGCGATATATAGCGTTAAACAAGAAAACTGCTTACGTGCCAGATTTCTGCGACTTTAGTTAACTAATATTTAGTTTGACAAGGTTCTAACTGACCCTAACTGCATATTCTCTTACTTGTTTTTATTTATCAATTATTATGATAGAGAATTTATGCCAATCAAAAATCATATAATAAAATTGGTATGGAAATCAACATAAAGTGTTCTAATTAGACACCGATGTAGAATAAAATACCTCTAAAGCTGTTATTTGACATTAAAAAAATTTTTTTTTTTTGTAACGTTTTGCAGTTTTACTCAAATTGACATCACTAACATTGCGAAACAAAAAAAACATTGGTTTCGATTAGCATAGAAAGAACTTTTATAATTCAAAATAAAAGAGGACTTATGAGCTAAAATTCTTTTTTTTAATTTTAAATTAATGATGTTTTTGCATTAATAAATTTACAAGCTTACCGCAGTAGATGTTAGTACAATTTGCCGCGCCATTCCCTAACGGTAAATCAATCTAACTATATATTGCAGTGCCTACCCCAAAAAGTTAGTCAAAAAGGATTTGAAAAGAATTTTTTCTGAAAGTAAAATAAAATAATTTGAAAAGTATTAACTTTGGTTTTAAGTAAAATATCAACAGAAAAAGGAAAGAGTAGTATTTGATATTGAAAGCAGTTATGATAACGACGATTTTGTAGCTCCAACCAGTAAAAGCTCCGAAGATTGCTGTGAATTAAGTACACGGTTAGTAACCTAATATAACTTTTTCGTGTAACTTTGACCATGCATTGAAATATTAAAATAGCTATATTTATAAGATTCGGTAAACGTTTTTTAAAAAGATTTTTAATGTTTAAACAGGAAGAAGAGGCGTTTTAATTTAACCAGAAATGTACAAGATTCTGAACAAAATAATGTAAAAGAAGCTTCCGGAGACAATGCCAATCATGTTTATGTAGCACATACTGAAAAAAAATTATTAGATAGACATGAATATAAAACCTACGAATGATGCTGAATTAGTGGTAAACAAGTAAGCCAAATATGTAGTGATCACCCTCATCCTCCTCTAAATCTTAAAAAAATTATAAATTTTTTGGTGAAATGTTTTTTATTTAATTATTTATGGTTTGTTTTTACATCTTCAAAGTGATTTTGACATTAAAATCTACTATTATATTCAAAGTGATCCATTTTTAACCATTTAAAAATGGTTCAATTAGTAGGTAATAGTATATTATAGATACTATTATCTTATACTAGTATAAGATACTATTATCTACTAAGTAATAGTAATCTTCTATGGATTAAGTTCAACAAACGTTTAAAAAAAAATTCCGCAAACGAATATCTAAACCTGAAACGTGCGGGCGTTATAAAAAAAAAGGCATACCAAGCTAGTAAAAGTCGAAGAGGAAAACAAGTACCGAAAAAAATCATTCAAACAAAAAAAAACTGTAAGTACGAATGTGCTAAGAAAATATCAGAAGATGAGCAAAACAATTTTTTTTAAATAATTTTATGCCTTAAAATTAGCTACTGAAATTGGCATTTCTTTATTACTTCAACTGCTAGACCAAAAAGAAACCAGAAGGAAAATAATGATAGTGATACTGCAAATGAAGAAGTTGATGTCCACGATGAAAAACAATTTTTTTAAAAAAGGCGCCTTTTTTTTCAAATAGACACCTATAGATATTTTTTCATGTAAAAAGAGAAAAATTCCGTGTTAGCAAAACATTCTGCTTAACTACACTGTAACTTTTACAAAAGCCAATTTACAACACCAAAGATGTTAAAACAAATACTCCTGCACAAGATCTACGAGGTAAAATCATGAAAGACAAACGTATACCGCACAGTGATGCCAGTGACTCAGCTTGGGACCACATGAAATTTTTTCAAACAGTTGAGTCACATTATTGTCGTTTAAGTACCAATGGACAATACCTTGAGTTACACCTTAATGTTTCAAAAATGTATAATCTTTAAAAAGAGAAATATATAAACGAAAATATTAAGCCAGTAAAAAATGTACTACTATTTTCTCCATTGAATTCAATCTTGGTTTTCACATTCCTAAAAGGATATAAGGGCAACTTTTGTGAGAAGTTTAAAGTTACTATGTCTGAAACACGGATACTATGTCTGAAAAATTGAAAGAAGACTTTGAGAGACATCAAGTTTTTTTTTTGTTTTAAAAAAAAAAGAAGAGATATACGTGCTTTATAAAAAACGGATAAAAATGTTCCGGTTTTACTTTTTGACCTTCAAAATATTATTTTGACTCCGCATGCAGAAATTATTTCCCTTTTTTATCTGAGAAAGCTAAGCGTGTATAATTTGACAGCTTATTTTTCAACAACCAAAAAAAAATATTGTGCATTATGGACTAAATCAATGGCCGAAAGAAGCGGCAATAATCTTGCTAGTGTTTTGTGCAAAATTTTGAGTGATGTAGCTGAGGAAAACGACGTAAGTGACTTACTTGGTTTGATTCCTGCGTTCCTCAAAATCGGAACAGTATATTATCAAATGTTGTGTTACAATTTTTAAGAGACAATCCTAACATTAACTCAATCGCTATGAAATACTTCCTTCCAGGTCATTCATGCATCCGGCAGAAATTAAAAAGCTTATGAGGAAAACTGATTTTAATAGTCCAATTGATTGGATATTAAAATCAGTTTGATAAGGATATTGAAACAAGTTAGCAGAAAAAATCCTTTTTGTATCATTCAAATGAAACAAAATGACTTCTAGGATCTAACGTTGCCGTGCTAAACTTTAATTAAAAATCTCACATTACACATTTTTCATTTTCATTATACAAATCTAGTAATGATCGCAATGAACCTATGAACTGTGCTATTATCAAGTTTAATGATAAAATAGCAATAATGCTAATTGCGAATGTAGCAACAAGTCCATCAAATGTTACTGTTTTGAATGTAAAACTAAATATTCAAAATTGTACAAAGGAACTTGCAGACTTAAATTTTTTTTTGATAAAGCTGCATTTCCGTTTATGCCTTTCGAGGACAGAGATAACTATCGAGTTGTTCTTCACCTATAAAATGTACCAATAAAATGTCACCTAGTTTTAAAATGTACCAATAAAATGTATTACAAAAGAGAATATAAATGAGTAAACAAAATGTTGTAACCTTGTTTTATAACTGAAACAATAATAATATTTATGAAAATTACCTTTTCACTATATTATTGTTTCAGTTACAGAAAATTACAGAAAATTACTGTATAAAATTTAAAGTAACTAACTGCTTCAGTCACAAAATTTAAAAGTAACTAACATGTTTCTAACTACCGTTTTAACATAGTTAGAACCTTTTCATTGTAAGAATATGATAGTTTCACTATGAAAGTCACTTCCAAGTGCATTTTAGGGATATTCATTTTTCTATAAAGAGTGAAACATATTTTAATAAAAAATAGTGATACTTATTGCAAATGCTTATGTTATCATGAGTAAAAAATGATTTTAATAAATTTTAAAAGTAGGAACATAACAATTTTTAACATTGATTTACTCAAAACTACTCGCGGATCAGTTATAACCTTGTCAAAAACAACGCGACGAGTTGTTTACATGAGATTTCTTTTCTTTTTTTTATTAAGGCACTATATAAATTTATTTTAACCATTTTAAGTCTAAAATTTATACTGTTTATATGTTTGTGTTATAGAATATATATA